AGTGTCGTCACAGAGCTGCCCGATTGCTGGTCCTATTGATCTTCCCAAAACCCGACAAACCGACGAATCTGCAGACACGGCATACCGTATGTTCCAAGTCTCTGTGACTTATCTGCGATCGAGCATAGCACGAGCCAGCCGTGAGACCGACAGCAGACGGCCCGACAAACAGCGCCCACCACCTGACCCTCAAATATCTCGAAGCCTTTGATCGCGTAGAGGCCGCATTCGACGAGTCAATACTTTAACGCCTAGTTGTCCCGGCCGTCTACCCCCTGTGCGTCAATTACCTTGACTTCAAAAGTCTTGGGCACCTGAAACAATTCTGAGCTTTGGGTCAGCAACACGAGGGCGTTGTCGTCAACAGAATTAAGGTTGGAAGGAAAGGAACGCCTTTTAGAAGTAGCAACAGTCTTGTGTATTGCTTTGCAAGATATATCCCGCTGTCAGTCCACCTCGCTTGATCAGACAAATCCTTGCTCTTGCTCAATGGCATGTTAACGCACATCATCCACAACAGTTGAATACCAGCCCCTAGATCCCTCGATAGTCTCGACCCCAACGCTCCTCGGAACTTTTGTCACAACCACCGAGGTTCTACAGGAAGCCATAGATGCCTTGCGCGAGGAGGCCGACGATATTCGAGAGCGACGATCACATCCAGCTGAACTTTATTGGGCGTTGGGAGCCCGTGCTGCCGACGACGATGTAACATTTCCGAACGGTATTCCATCCTCGAGCCGCCGTCGATTCCTAGCTGCTTGGGAAATATTACATGAACAGATGACGGCATCTATTGTCGTCCGGGCCACACGCACACTTGGGGGCAGGCTTACCGTAGAGAAACGATGCGGCGAGATGCTCCCGAAGCTGAGTTAAACACTGACCCTTTGGTGCAGAGGAGGGTGCCGCACCATCCAGACCGGAAGTCGCAAGGCTCGAGGTAATTCACTTACCCAAACTAACTGCGCTCACTCCCGGAACTAACACGCCTCAGACTCGACAGAGCAGTTTGTTTAGCACCTACCCACACCGACAGATGCCAAACGAGAGACCTGGCTAAACCTCGAATCAGCGGACGTCATGGCTTATAAGACTTCGAAGTACTATGTTTGCGAGGATGATGATCCGTACCTGTGCCTCTACCCTCCTTATGCCACCGATTTTTCCTTGTTTTCCAGTCGAAGGAGTGGACGCAGCATACGGAGCCACCGCATCCGCCAGATTAACTACAAGGTCTGCGCATCCGACCGGCGGCGTGATTGTGATCATGAACTTCGGGCTTTCGATACAGGGTTGGAGAGGAGGGTGGGCATACGGGAAATACGCAACGTTGGAAGACACCCATACACTTAGGCTGAACTCGAGTACAGGCCCTTGGAGCGAAGTGGTCTGTCCTTCACGACGAAGTTGCTTGCCTCTTTGTGAGCGGGTTCCAGGTACTCTAGAGTCTCTCTAAGAGAAGGGAGAGAAACTCTGGACATATATCAGCACGTCATAATACTCAGCCATTTCCCCGACCATCGAAAATCGTGTCATTGATGGCACCTCCTCCTCTTTTGCACATTAGTCTAGAGTTCAGCGGTGGACCGTACGCTTAACCGGCCAACGACGCCTGATTTCCTCTACATGCCATACATAGTTCTGTCGGATCGTAGTCAAAATACTGACCTTCATTGAGAGACCCAAGACGTCGACCTTTCTCGACTTCAAAGCCCAGCAACGATTGTTTACCCCAACTGGACCCTCCCTTTCAACCGTGCTGCCATGCGAGACCTCTAGCTTAGGTGCACTGTCATATTATGATTAATACCTACAGTAGACATGACCGCATCTATGCCTCTCTTGTATTAGGCGGAATTGTGTTTCTTTGTCACGAAAGCATCGCATCTCAGGTCATCATGCGGCATAGCTTGTCCCCCACGTCCCCCGTTGTTGGTCTCTTGCTAGATGCTGGCACATTGTGCGGGCCCTCTTACGCAGGCTTTATTGCACTCGATGTAACAGAACATGGTATGCAATCGATACCGGACTTTGGCGTGTTGGAATCTTGGTAGCCGATGAATCTTGGCACCGATCTAACCCTCACCCTACAGTAGGTGATAAAAGTACAGATATTATGTTTAGCCCAGGCAGTGGCCATCAGACAGCTATATCCCGATGACTTTACTGTTTCTTTTCCCAGCTCCGGCTCTACTATAGGTATGCCAGGTTCACTGATTCCACAGACTCAGGCTTCATGGCCACAAGTCTGTGCACTGGGACGAGGGTCAGCACAGGCACTTTGGCCCTGTTATTGATGCGTGTTACCTGAACACGTGTCTTTTGGGTGCCCATGATGTCACCGAGAAGAAACAAAACATTTGTTTACCGAGGATCCATCGCAATAGCGATGCAAATCGGCCCATTATGCTATCGAGGGTAAGTATGTTTTTTTTTGTTTCCTGAATGGTGCCTTTGTTTTTTTCTTTCTTCTTCTCTTTCTTTCGAAATAAGTAACTCGTGGCATACATAGAACTACGCCAGAGAAGCGAGCAATAGGCGTATGCTGCTTGTACCTACTTACATCCAAGAGGGGTACCTTGATGTGCAATTTGGTGGCGCCGTATTCCCTTGTATTGTGCGGCTGAAGAACAATTTGGGCGTTGTCTACCTATACATGCATTATCATGCCTGGAAAATTCTTTCTTTTTAAAAGACAAAGACACAAAGAGTGGTTGTAGAGGGGAGTCCGGTAAGTATTATCTAGGTATGTCTCAACACTTAAACAAACATTGGAGGATTTTGTGATAGGTGTGTGCACGGAACATTGGGAATAATGCTCCGTGCCACAATTGAATCAAGCATTGAAGAGGTGGTTATGTACATGCGACTTCGAAACAGGTAGGGTTGTACAACGGTGCCCTCCTCAGTAAGACAAGGGAATATTCGGTAAGGTAATTTGTCGCTCAGAGCGTGCGCGGAGTTACTCGCACAAAAAGCAACAAAGACTGCTTAAAAGTACATCCAATCTTTATGCAAGCCAATAAATCATGTTTGTGTAGCCTGCCAGATAACTGAACATCATTGTTGCCATTCTCACCTCGAACATCCATTTTCCACAACATTACATCTATATTATCCCGCCCGTTCCAAATTTAAGAGACTTGCTGTTACGAACTCACTCACACAAGTGCCATCCCTGATCTTTGCCCCGATTTTTCCTCCTCCCTATGGTTCACAGGATAACGAAGCAGAGCTGCCGATTGCTACCCCTCTCGTCAACCTCCGTTGGGTAGACAGGTATTCAACACGAAACATTATCCCTTCCGAGTCTTTGTACTCTTCCCGCGATCAAGCACGGTATATCTTCGAGTCTTCCAACATAGAGCCTATCCCTGCCGGGTCTTTATACCACACCCACGATCGAGCACGATACGTTTACGAGCCTTCCGACGCGTTACGAGCCTTCTGAAACGAAGGCCCATCACTGCCGAGCCTTTGTACTCCATCTGCGATCAAGCACGACACGTTTACGAGCCTTCTGGCACGATCCCTGCCGAGTCTTTGGGCTCTACCCACGATCAAGCCTACAATCCTTCCAACACGAAACTTATCCCCGCCAAGTCTTTGTGCTCTACCCACGATCAACCACAAGACCTCAACACAAGGGGCACTCCCTGTCGAGCCGTTGCGCTTCATCGACAATCAGGCACCAGTCATCATGGACCTCCCCGCTGCAGATGACCCGGCACGTGCCATTCGCCGAAGAGCACTTGATTGCATCCATCTTTTCGACGACATCGAAGATGACTTCGACAGGTCGATATTGGCAAGGAAAATAAACCCGGAGGCTTACTTTCCCGACGCCAAAAAAAAGGACCCCTTCACCTTCCTTAGTACTCGAGATAGTTTCGACTTTTGGACTCATGTCAACGGGATCATATCACCCAAGCCGTCGTCATTGCATTTCGAGCCAGAGGGATCGGAACACTATGCGGAGGCATTGCTGGATAATTTAGGCATTATTTTGAAAGACGTGACCTTCAGTAAGTCGGCTTATCTTAGCCAAATCGATTGTGATGTCTATCTATAAGCTGCTAACGTATAGACCAGTTTACAACTCTTGTACAAAGCCCTCAGTTGACCCGACCGCGGAATTCATCAAGACTTTTGAAGATGTCACCGCAAACTTACACATGGTCGTACGCAGGCTGTATGGCGTGGCTAGCAACCTTCGACTACTATGGACAAGGCATGTTGATGCGACGAAAATGGACACTTTCGATCGCTTTACGGACGAAGACATTGTATTTCGAAAGTACATTACATGTCTTGTCCGCGATCGGTTCCCGGCCGCTGGTGCACAATTGCATACGTTGCTGGGGAATTCTATAGCTGTTCGACGTCGAAGAATCCTAGACAAATGTCTCCAATCAAAAAGGATTACCGCTGGACGTGCACCCGGAGATGGCATGTCGGTAGAAGAGCACAGTGGGGAGGCACCGCCAAATGCTCAGCTAGACGCCAGCTTTTCGGCTCAGAAGAGAACTCCGCATCACCCGGAAGGTCCAGTGAGTGGTAGTTCTGAGGTTGTTCCTCCAGACGTCCAGGATGAAGGATTCAAGTCCGAACACCTGCCCACAACAGAGGCGTTCCGACTCATGACCAGCACCATTCATTTGTCAAACGAGGAGTGTTTTGACTACCCGCCTGCTCCGGTAATTGCTGAGGGACAAACCCGATTTCAATGCCCTTTCTGTTCTGATGAGTTGGAGTTAGGGTCCGACGCCAGCAAGGCCTGGAAGGACCACATACACCAGGATCTCATGCCATATCCATGCCTCCTCCCTAAATGTGCTGACGCCTCAACATTCTTTACGACTCGCACAGAATGGAAGCTCCACATGGAGACTAGGCATGATTCAGACTGGGTATACAGGGTCTCACCAAATTGGTACTGTGGGATCGACCATGACCAACCTCGAACCTTCAATACAGAGTCGGAATGGAGAAAACATATGGATAATCATGATTTTACGGAGGCCTACCTCGAGATCCTAATCGATGACATGGATGAGACTATCCCATATTCCGAGTTTCTCTGCCCTCTTTGCAAGAAATTTCCCGAAAATATAGAACATCTCATGGGGAAAGACAATGCCGAGCCACAACTGATCCGCAACATCCTACTAAGCCACGTCGCCAACCATCTTGAGTCACTGTCATTGAAGGCGCTTCCTTCTCTTCAGCATCCTGACCTCGACGGCCAGAACATTCCGCGACAACCGAGCGGAGAGGAAGCTATCTGCAGAGCGCTTTCACCTGACGAGATTGAGGGGGATTTCATTTTCACTCACGATAAGAAGAGTCTCCTTGCCGAAAATGGCCAAACCATACCCCAGCTCGAGCAATGCCAATACTGCAAGAAGAATGGTCCTAGAGCCGCCATCCCGCTCCATACGGCTATGCGATTTTTAGTTTCTTACAACACTCGTTTTGGTAAGGAGATCGGCTACTTCAAAACCTGTCCATGCTGCGGGCAGAACCGAGACTTCTGGCCTAACCCAGACAATTGGCCGCTGGACATCAATACCTCTATAGCTCTTGACCGAAGGACTCCCTACGACCAAGAATTCCCAGACCATTACCATCTGCAAGTCGGTGCAAATGATATCGACACAAACTGGATCCATCTTTGGATGTCATGGTATGAACGGTGTAGATGGTCCCGCCGCGGCAATCCAATGGACCCAATCTTGATGCGTTTAACTTACTCTGTCGATCTAGGGTCACCTTCGCATGTGTCTGACCCCAAAGCTTGGGGCCTCTACTTCAGGCTCGACGCTGGCCCAAAGAAACTGGCAGCCGTAGCGCGGATTGGCAATGCCCAAGCAGCTCGTGAGCTCATAGAGAACGGACACAATGTCGATATGGTAGACCAACATGGAATGTCACCTCTGCTATGGGCGGCTGTGCAGGGACACGAGGAGATGGTCCGATTGCTTCTCGAGAATAAGGCGGAGATTGAGAAGTGCGACAAAACATTCCATCGAACACCATTATCATTAGCAGCCCTCGGAGGTCACAAGGCTGTTGTAGACCTACTTCTCAGGGATGGAGCGAATGTAGACTCTCCTGATTCGTCACGTCTCACACCACTCTTCTGGGCTGTTATAGGAGGCCATGAATCGGTCATAAAATCGCTACTAGCCTTCGGGGCACGCTATCAAGATCCAGGTCCAGATTTTTTCATGCCCTATTCAAGAGATGAAGAGTCAGGCGATGGAAAGTATTCCAGCCGTACACGTTTCCGTTATACAGCATTGATCGACCCGTGCAAGTTGAAATGCTTCTCATCAGCCATAGAAAAGGGAGATAAGAGAGCTATATATCAGTACCTTGAGCCTCTTCCCTTTCCTGAACTTGAGCGTATTGATATTCATGGATTCAATATCGGTTCTAAGAAGACCATCTTGGACTTTGCTATCGAGAGCGGGAACTGGGAAATTACCCTCATTCTTTTACAATACGACGGCGAGATGGTCCGACCCGGATCCGTCACGATGGCTCGTCAATTATTCCAGGTGTACAAGGGAGGGGATGGAGCTTCATCCGTCGTCGACTGAATTCCCCCGCAGTGATGTCTGTCTCCACACTCGCGATTCTAATCCGCTGGTAGGGTAGTACGTTTTGCCTTTGCAGTGTCCAGCCAGTTGAGAATGTCGTCATTCAACCGTGTATCCCACCAATCTCAATTGACAATGCCTTTTCAGTCATCTCTTTCTTTTATCTTGCTGCTTTCTCATTCAATTTTATCATGCTTGTTTCTCTCTCTCTCTCTTTTTTAGCCTCTGTTGCCTTCTGCTCATTTCTGTCTACTGCTTTCTCTGTTACTTCTTCGCATTCCATATCTAGGACCCAAACATAGATAGTGCTGACCACAATTGGTATCAACAACGTGTGAATTCAAATATTATTCCCTCTACATGATGCGGATTGATTAATACCATTATGGTGTCTCCATGATGCGTGGCTAATTCATCACTGGTGGGCAGATTACTACGCAATTAATCGCTGCAAGCCAAGCCTCGCAATTAGGAAATGCGACCATCAGATCGCAAGGGGCCAACCTGACTGGCTTGGGTTATGACGAGCCGTGTCAGCCGTTGCATAATGTTGTGCAGGTGCTAGCGGCGGAGGTATTATGCAAGTCGCTCGCCGCTGATCCGCCGTCCAAGTCTGAAGTATCGCGCGTGGACATCAACCACCAAATAGAGTCTGATCTGAGCCTGCTAATGCCGCATACTACATCTTGATATTCCATTATCAACACTGATCTCAGACGTTACGGATATCGCATGCAGCTTTTGATTAGATGGTGCTATCGGTTTCCAGGGACCAAGCCATAGCTGCATGAGGCGCATCATAGGCTCAGCTGGAGCTGCTACACAAGGCCGTCTACATGGGTATGTACCTTTTTCAGGCATGAATACTGACTGCCTAGGCCCGTAAGCTGCTGCCACACATTCTTACGCCCTCCTTCCCCATTCCTCTACCTTGTCCTATCCCACATGTACACTATACACGCTGACATCTTGCTGCTACATGTCCATCATGGCAGACACAGAGGGCCTTTCTCCAATATGGCCATTACTCTTAGACACTTATCCAGTCTTTTATTGTTCCGCAACCTTGGCCAATCCTGCCAATCATGACCTCTCGGCTGGGTACAGCGTAGAGACCCATACTGCTCGCCTCAAAGCCGCCCTGAAACTTGCTATGAAGAAGCACCAATCCCTCTCATCATGGACAGGCAGGCTCCAAAATCCGCTGCGCCTAAGTTCTACGATGGAACATTTTGCAGGCCGTTTGGAGGCATATATTGATCGCCAAATTGAGGTCAGAATTATGCCCGCAAAACACATGCCGTCTAAGTTTTGAGTCATTCTGCTGACCGTTTTCCAGCACTACTCTCAGTCAACCCCCCAACCCTCCCCGTATCCAAGACTTAATCTTCTGCGCGAAGTCTTGCTCGGCCCGAAGCCTCCCTGTAACGATACCTCCGACATATTCCAACATACGGACGGTCGATACAATACTGAGACGGCCTCTACAAGCACGAGCTCTACCAGCACGACATCAACAAGCGATACGGAAGCGCACATCGCAGATGCCGCGCGTTTCGTCCATTTTCCTCAAGATTTATCCCATATCGAATCGCTCTGCGGAGCCATCGACACGTTTTCGGACTCTTTAGACTGCGAACTCTTCCCAAATTTTGATAGCCGCGGAACGATATTCACAGATCTGGACCATGAGAGAATACAACAGGCCTACGAGTCCTCATCCCTATCCACTTCATTATTCTCCCACTTGGCGGAAAATGCCATGTGCAATGCCCAGCATCAAGCCGACCTTGACCTCTCGAGTGTCAGGGAGGGCCAGATGAAACTCATACTTCGCAAATGTCAAGAAACGACAAGGGAGAGATGGATACCCGCAGTGTTCACTCAGTAAGTACGCTAGAGTCTATACAGATCTTTAGCTTTTTTCATTTAGCTAATCTCTAATCCACAAATCGGCAGCTCCCTTGAGAAACCAGCATCGGGCTTCTCGCCACTCGACAGCATCTGCTCGGCAATAGAAAGTCCCACGGCCCTGGACGTTTCCTTCGATTCCGATATGATGTGGACCTCAAGCGAAGACAATGGCCCCAGCTCGTCGACTATCCCGCCCACTTTCCCGCGCGGAGAGAAATCTTTAGAAACGTTCCTCGGCGATAACTTTTGGATGGCGTCCCTTTCACCCAAGCGCCGCTCGCTCACGGGGGTTTTCCTCGCCGCTACTTTTTTCCATCTTATTGGAAGTCCTTGGTTGAAGCAGCCCTTTGATGCTCAGGGTATCTCTCTCGGCGCTGATGGCAGTCCAACACTTCACCGGATGCGTGTCTATGCGGCACGCAGCCTCGTGCGAGATCCGGACGTAGGGGACCTAACCGACAGCGTCGCTGCCCTGGGGGTACTCTTCATTGAACTTGAGACAGGATTCAATGCATCTTGGACCGAAGAGGACGAAATACCACGCACTAAGGAAACGTCACATCGGTTGCGCCTGCGTCGTCTATTATCTGCTTGGCATGAGAGAATACCAACTGATATCCGGAACATTGCTTACTCATGCCTGTATTTTAAGCGTCTTGTCAATAATAATATGGTTGCAGCAGAAGAAGACATAACCAGAGACATGAGGAGGCCCGCTGTTATGTACCAGCGTATTCTGAAGCCTATCTTCCGACGCAATGGCCAACTCTTCGAGGAACTCAAACAGTCTTCCGCGGCAAATTTTGCCCCTTGCGGCACTCTTCCTCCCTTCCGCAGCACCATCATCCCGGTTGTCCCGTTGCAGTTGTTTGATACGCAGGATTTGTCTTTGCCCATGTCCCAAGAGAAGCTGTAAGCTTGCTTTAATGCTGAGCCGATGTCCACCACCGCCCCATACGTATTAACCATTGCGTGCAGGGATAGATCCAACCAATTCTTCAATGACGCCAAGGCCTTCTTCCGGCATATAAAAGCAATCCGAAGTGACCTCAACTTCAGCGACCTCGATCTCAGCGACCCCGACCTCCGCGACCCCGACCTCCTAATGTCGAAGAAAAGGAAAAAGATAAGGATCGTTCTGCTTGATACAGGAATTGACGCCGAGGAAACGAGAATGGAGATGGCCATTGACGATGGGCGAATAAATCGGGCAGAATCCAAGAGTTTTGTCGACTCTCCTTGGGACCAAGACGATGATATGCATGGGACGAACGTAGCCGAACTCGCGACACGAGCTGCACCCACCGCGGAAATCATCATAGGAAAGATATGTGAACGCAGGGATAAACTTGAGGACGTGCTACCGAGACTTGCGAAGGTGAGTTCCCCTCTACAATCAAGTTCCGGCAAGATCTAACACCAAGGTGCGCAGGCCATAAGGTGGGCTGTAAAGGAGAAGGAGGCCGATGTTATATGCCTGGCATTGGGGTACAGGACGCCCGACGAAGCCGTCGAAAGAGCAGTGGATTACGCAATCGCGAAAAGGGTATTGGTCGTCGCCCCCGCCTCGAACGACGGTGCGCTCCGCGGGGGGCGTGCTCGTCCAGCGATTTTAGAAGGCGTTATATGCATTCATGCCTCAGATGGCTTGGGTGAACGTGGCAGCATGAACCCCCCCAGGTTGGATGACGAGAAAAACTTCTTGACGCTCGGCGTTGGGATAGATGTGCTTTGGAAAGGCGAAACAAAGCTCAAATCTGGAACCTCCTTTGCCGCCCCAATTGCCGCAGGTTTTATTGCATGCATGCTGGAATTTATAACGGACAAAGTAACCGATCTGTCGGCGGTGCAGGTCAAGAAACTGAAAAGAAAGAAGGGCATGGAGGCTATCTTAAGAAAGATGTCAAAGAAGGTATATGTCGGCGGCAAGCATTACTTCATCCATCCACAAAACATGTGCGATTGGGAAAGGGCAGACGCGGTGCAAAGGGCAGTGAGCCGCGTGAAGGAAGCCCTACGAGATGTCTAGAAAAGGGACCATACGGATTCGGGCACGTATTTACGGGACTGGCTTGCTGAAAAGAGGTTGGATTTTGTCGCAATGGAGTGGGTGTCGCCATATTGATTGATACGTGAGCAGAGATACAGTCATGGGAGGAAAGTACACATCAGACCGAACATAATAGGGTGGCTTGGTGTTTTTCAGGAAAGATTTTAATCATAGACCACAGCTCCCAGACCGACCGCGCCGCATTTCTCGTGAAGCCCACAGTCCGCGCAGATGCCACTTGCTCATCATCGCGCACCATCCAAAGGCGCCCAGCGTTGTTACACTTGATTATCTTATGAAGCTTTGCCATCTGATAGGGCCAAGTATTGTTACACTTGATTATCTCAGGTGAAAACTCTGCGCTGTGATACTGACCTACCCCTCTTTCTCCCAGGTTTCTCAAGTTCATTCATCCTTCTACAACTCGCCCGTCGTTCCTGCAGCGCTCATCAATCTTGTTGGTTATCCTTTCAGTCTCATTCTTCCATTTCTGCGATAAAAGATGGAGGTAGCTCGTGGCCGCGTCGGCGACTTTGGTAAATGGCAGAAACCTGAATACCTTCTTGCGCCCAATTTCCACATCCCCCCCGACGGACCGCTTGCTCTTGGCAGGTTCGTGAAAGAAATCGACCAATTCCGTGTGCTTAACAAAGGTTCCGCGCGAGTCCCTATCCCAGAGTCGGACTTGTACTTGGATGTCAAAAAAGACATCGTGGCAAGCGTCAACTCGTCCAGCAACCATGACGCGAAGATCCTGGCCCAGTATCTTGACCGCAGCCTCGGCGGCCATATTGGATTCCGGGGAGCCAAGACCGACAGCGATATCTTCAACATTCAGAGAGTGGAGACAACTTCCTTCGACCTAAGCGAGGAGTATACCACGAAGTGTCGCCAGCTCCCAGACATCAAAGTCTACCTCGAGCACCACGACTACAAGAAACCGGTCTACCTGATCACCGGATTGAAGATCGTTTATGGAGCGTCGTTCTCCGTTGCTCATGGCCAGGCCTCTGGTCAAGAGGCGGGAGCAGGCGTTGCGTTGGGCAACGAGGCACTCAACTTGGAGGTGAAGGGCGAAGCCAGCCACGGCAAGAATTCGGGCTTTGCAGCCAGGATCCAAGGTCCATCCGACTTCGTTCTCGGCATCCGACTCCAGAAGTTCTACCACAAGAAGAAGTTTCTTCTCATCGGCGAAAACATCGCTCACGACAAGCCGGAGGTCGCGAGGGCGGTTTTGATGGACAGCGACTACACGGCGGAAGACAAGGATGATCAGCTCGTCCCTGTGGAGATGAGCGACGAGGAGGCGACAAAGATGGTTCTTTAAAAGACTAGTCCCCGCAGAAGCTTGCGGCAGTAAGGCGTTGTCCAGGTGCTTCTCACAATTTTCTTTCTGTACTCCTTTGTCTCCTTCCTTCTGCTTGGGCGAGGAAACATGGGAGGGTAGGCCTCGGCCGAGTTTTCAATCCGCTACTTGGGATCATTTGGGGTTACCCGTGTTGATTATTCACGTACGTAGCTACTTAGCATTCTAACCAGACCAAGAGACATGTTCATCCTGGCAATTTGCACGAACCGCGTAGAATGTATGCGGGCAGGCCGCTACAGGCCCTGGCCAGCAAACAATATGATGTCCGCTTCCCCCTCCGTGATGAATGCCTTATCCAATGCAGCAATTCAATGTGTCGATGGTCTAACACGCCAAGCTGCGACGCCGCCGCGCCTGGTCTGGTCGAGCATCACGAGTTGCACCAAAACGCGGCAATTTCTCGCATGATGCGTCGAACGATCCACGACAACGCGCGTCGCCTTGGACGGACAGGGCGCCCAGAACTATGATACTTGCCATTGGCGGCCTGGGATAACTCTCTTATCCAACTATAGACCTGTAGAAGTATGTGAAGGCGTGAATTGCGAGAGGGCGGCCTGGTGCAGGAGAGCATCGGCGGTCTATGCTGCCTGGCCAAGGTGGGCGTGATGGTCATCGACCGTCGGACCTGGCTTTGGCGGAGTCACTGGAATGGTACACGAACGATATCTCGTCCTATGCTCCAGCAGCCGACCAGAAGGTGTGCTATTCGTAGACCCTCCGCGCCTCCTGTAGATCGGTCGTCGCTGAATCTTGATGGCAGTCACGAAGTTCCGCACCTCGGACAAGTAGGTCCAAGCGTTCAACTACCACGAACAGGTTCAACGTCAATAGAATTTGGTCTTTTTGGAGGTCACTGCTTAAGGAATTGGAAATGCGGCTAGCTATCTCCCGCAATGTCATGGGGTGCCGGCCCAGGTGCGGTTTCCCACCAACGCCATCTTCGACTCGCTTCCACGCCTCACGGAGCAGAGATTTCGGCTGGCGGTGTCGCGTCCATGGGTCTACGCGCACCGCCGACACAAACCGCCAGCGACGGAAACGCTTGGGACCAGTATCAACCTCTTCTTGCTTGGCCTGTGACTCACTTTAATTCACGGTGATGGACAGTATTTTGCCTATGCCCACGGGCTGACCTGTCCTTTTGCTGCCGTTTCAAACCATCGCCAGCATCAAATGATCCCATGACTACCCCGCATCAGTGACTTGAATCTCTATACAAGTTTGCTGGGGGACCAAGTAGCTCTGTGAGGTTGCCTCATCACAACTCTCAGTGGGCAGCCACTAAAAATTAGTGGATGGCTCACCAATGCGTGGTTGATGACCCGCTGTGTTGCCTATGCAACTAACGGGCACAATATTTGCAATTATCAGAGGTTTGCAATCACAAGACGGTACCTGATCTCCAGTGGAGAGCCCTATCAAAGTAAAATCACTTCTTTGGCAAGTCGCTGCCCTCAACGGAGTCTCCATGCCTCCATCACGACGTCCAGTTAAACTATGTTTGTCTCCACAGCATCATTCAGGCTAAAAATAGCCGTTGCTCGTCCAAGAGCACTTGTGTGCCTAGGTAGGTTAGGGTGGCAAGTCACTGTTAGAAAAACAGGGGTAAAACTGCGCAGCCACCATGATGCCTGCTGTTCTCAACCTAATGCCCTGCGCTTTCTAGGTTTGCACCAAGTGTGAGCTGAGCATACTGACAGTGCCTGTAATTGAATGTTAAACTCAATTGCCATCATCTTCTCCCTCTAAACTTCAGCAGCGGGGATCATCTTCGTGGTGTTTGCGAGCAATTTTGTTGCAGAATGCACAGGGGTACTGATACTTCTCTGCACATACCATTGTACCGGCCAGTTCCCACCGGGCCTGATTTGATGGAAATCAAAGCCAAAGTAGAGACACTTTCACATTAAAGCACAATTGAACGTATAGAATTTCACCCCTCGAAGCGCATCTACATAATCCAACCAAGGAGATTTCCCAAAGGGATCAAGGCTACTCCTCCGGCGAGCATTCCGCTTGGCAGTGGGTGTGCCCAAAGCTGATGTTTAGGGTAGCTCGCTCGCCACTGCAGTATCCAAATTTTCGCATGCATCGGATCTGCTACTCGGAGGATGTCTCCCGTGGTATCATCTTCACTGTGACCCTAGCTACTTCTCCTATCATTCTATAGACATTGAATTGCGTAGTCGACGCCATACACCGGGCTAAACCGGCACTACCTAATTCCCCTGCCGTTGACGCGTTGGGAACAGCGCGATTTGCCGTCGAGAACGAAGCTTAGTCAGCACACAACCATTCGACCCCGCTGACCAATGCGCGCGCTGTTATTGGCTAGCTCCCTGCCTTGGCAAGATTCTCGCGGTTTCCCGTGAAAACGCGCTGCTGTGTCGTGTCTTTATCTCCTGTGGACGAACTGGATAATCTTGGGCAATTGTAGACCTGGCAGCTTCTTCTCGGTAGCCTGTTTGGCTCTGTATGGGCGGAGCATCTGCCTAAAACCTCGACGTCGTTTGGGCGGACAAGTTCGTGCCTGTCGCAAGCCATTGAGGTTGAGGAGAGCTGATTGACCTGGCCGATCTTTGACATGGCGGGAGATGTATGGCAGTAAAGCACTGGGCTGTCACAAGCCCTGGTAAATGAAGGGTGAATTAATGTAGACTAATAAGGCTGACATGTATGTGTCCAAAGTTTGATAAAGCAGTGATGCTCCAAATCTCGTGCTTTCACGCAATCCATCAACGGCTATTGGTTGTAAATTGTACCTAGAGAAGTTTCCCCAAGGCTTCAAAGGCTCAAATCAAGCTATCAGCCGACCAGGGGGTTTTCATGACATCGAACGCGTTGTGTGTTCTTTTGTTTATCCATCCAACTCGTGTTGGATGGTGAAACTCTGCTTTAAATTCAGTAATTTAGCTCCTCTTGGCTATTGAGTTAACCTAAGTATACGCTCTGACGTGTTCGCATTTGCTCCATCATCTCTTCTGCTGAAGTGCGTAGCTGGGTACAAGAACTAAAGCTCTTTTCTTCCTAAACAATGTATTTCTAACTAAGAAGCTGCCTCGTGGATGTGACAGAGTGAGTTAGAAAGTCTCGAAGGAGGCTATAGGGATTAAAGAGCCCAGATTCTGCTCCCGTCAGGATGCCAGGTGTCTTTTGTGTAGCAGTGGATGTCTAATTCACCGACAGCGAGAAAGCCATTGTCGAGTAGGTATCCATCCAACAAGATTCACGGCCACTCTCTGCTGGTGCTTTCGGGCTTTGCCTCTGAAGTAAATGAGACGGCGCTCTCTAGCTCATCAACTACTCTAACTATTCAAAGTCTACATATTTGGCCCGGATCTCAGCTTTCCAGCTTTCGTATTCGACAACCTCGCCTTGAACCAACACACATCCTTTCGGTAACGACTTAGTCTGTTCCCTGTCCCTCATTGGGAATTGGTAAAATTCATCGTCCTTGCTACACTCGGAAGCTGGGGCGTTGCCAGCCATCAGCTTCTTGTAGCAGTCATCGTGGAAAACTCGCTGTCCGGCGTGGGTCAAACAGAGCCACATATTCTGCATATTCCAGTTAACAAAGCGACAATTGTGACAATATGTAAGCCCAGATGACAGCAAGGAAAATGGATTGATCTCTTCGTCCGCTAGCTGTCTCCCCACATCCCACCAAACATCTTCTGTGTCCTCATTTTCTTCCTCCAGGAGCTTTGCGGCAAGCTTGGAAGCGATGGTCCCATCTTGGCTTCGGTTGATCTCATCGTAATCTGGTAAGTCGAGCCCATCATGGTCAGCAACCTGCCCCTCTTCCGCAGATTCACCTGCACGCGTTTCCATATCATCCGAGTTCTTCTTCATTTCGGCGACTTGTTTCTGCCTCCAGATAAGTTGTCTTCGCTTATTCTCCTGTCGCTGGGCCCTGAAAGCAATATATTGCAGCTCCCAAGCTACAAGAGCGTTCCGTAGATCACCCATGGCGCAACAGGAGACGCTGAGAGTATTGAGAGATAGTGTGTCGTTGTCAAGGTTATCATCCATCAACATCTCAAGTGCACCGGAAACATGGCCTTTGAGTAGCTCCTTGGCCTTTTGCTCATCGCCCGTGCGAAAGAAGTATTGCGCCATAGAAGCACAGCTCTGGAGGTCTCCAACAATATCGGCTTCATACTCGTCGTAGTAGGCTTGGAGCTTTGCGTGATAAGACTCGGCATCTACAGAAGAAGTCCCCTTGCGATAAGCGAGCTTGATCCAAACATTAATCAAGTCGTGGCGGAATCTATTAATGCTGTCGTGTGGGATTTGTCGGCAGTCTTCCCAAATTGAAAGACCGGTCTCCTCGTAGCCGTCAAGCCGAACGAGCATTCGACCATGCTCGAACCGTAGTTTGTCCAATTCTCGTGATGGCGGCTCAGTTGCATAGGCTTTGTTAAACAGAGTCTCAACAAGATCAACCCTATTTTTTGCCTTTACCGCTTGGAAGGTAACGTCGGCCAAAGGGTATTCGCCAATATTATGCGCCAGGAAGGCCCCCGTGGTGTTTTGCTCTTTGTCCGGTTCCTCCAACAGCCGCTCATAAAACGTGATGATAGCATCCCACTTTTCAAGCTCGCTATATATATCCAAAATGGGACATATCTTGCCCAAAACATCCGGAGATCTGTCGATTTCAAAAATTCTGAGATTGATTTCTTCACATCTTTCGTCCCTTCCGTGATCGAGGCTCAACGATAGATCAAGTAAAATCCTGGTGAGGATGATCTTGTTTCGAGGCTGGCTCGCCCACTCTTCATCCGCTATCAACCTATCCACAACGTCCTTTAGAATGTTAATATTCTCCTCGCTGCGGTCTCCGGCTCTTGATAACGCATATGATGCTTGCCAGCAATTTGGATCAAGGTCCACGGCTCTCTTGGCTCTTCTGACACACTCAGCCCGTGTTTGTTGTGTGAGATACTGGGTGACGCTTTGCATTACATCAACCGCGCGTGCCTCCCAGAGTGCATCTTTCTCTGTGTACTCCAAGGCAGCTTGTGACCAATTCTCAACCAGTTGAAACATCTCATATGTAGCGGAATATTCCCCATCAAGGTGTGGTAGCTTTTTCTGCACGACTATCAGTAACCATTATCGCGCATGGGGTGTTCTGAGATGGAAATACCTTCGTGATCAGGAAGTATAAGAAGAAGAAGGCCCTTCGAGTTTCGTTCTCCGCGGTGTCCCTCCGAAAAAGGTCATTGGCAGCTCTAAGCATACCCAACTTAAGCAGCACCATCCGATGATCTGCTTCTGGGTCGTTGAACGCAGTAATGATCGGGTTGTGTTTGACATTTTCAATGACCGCAGAGTCTCTGAACCATCGTGAGATGCAGACCACTCCTTCCTGGCTGAATACCCAAGATCTCCAGGAGTATGAAAACGACTCGTCGCCATAGCGGAAAAAGGTACTAATCTGTGGTTTAAAGTCTTCGAATCCTAGCAACGACCCGATTGCGTATTGCTCAGTAAATAGACGCACTAGCATTACTCCGGCTTCAGCCTTGAGCTCCCTGTCCGCCAATGAGAGATCGGCTGCGTTCAAATGAACACTCAAAAACGCCTGGCTGTGCTCATATAACAGTTGGGTCTTCTCATTACGCTCCTCAATAAGGCATTTCATGCAACGCAGAGCAAGACGGATATGCGCGTTTTCCCAGTCTTGATGTATGCGAGAACTTTTGCCGACGAGCTTGGATTCGAGAAAATCTTCAAATCCCACCTTCTCGTAGAGATATTTAGGGCATACCGTTGAGAGGTAATGCTTCAGGATATTGATCTCAGTGGCGCTCACTTCGGTATCGTCATTTGGGATCTGGCTCCCTCGGGTCGGAGCTTTATTTGGAATCATAGCGCCAATGTCCGGGTATTTGTACTCGATGGTGTTATTCCATCCCACCTGGAAAAGTGTGTATTTTGACTTGATTTTGGATCTTATCGACATTAGGGACGGAGAAGCGTAATCTCCCATCCCTAACTCAATAGCAGCCTCCATCAGATCCAAGTCGACCTTTACAAACATGCCATTGTTGACCCAGAGGATCATCTCATTTATCTCAGCGATTTCTTTGTTGGACAGTGATTGGTTAAGCTTCTCTATGTCCGCTTCAATCTGTTCTGGCCGCGGACGCCGTGCAGATTCAAGCTGAAAGTCGACTTCGTCGGGGTCATCCGTCTTAGATATGTTATCCAGTACTCGCCTGATCTTATGGTAATCCCCCTCAGTGGACTTTGGCAGCTCTCTGAGGATTCGGGCTCTGACATCCACCACACTTCGTGATTTCTCCTTGAGAATGTCCATATGGTCCATTCTATCTTTGATGTAGATCTCAATATCTAACTCATTAGATCGGGCCAGTGGTATTCTCGCAACCTTCATACCACCAACCGTCTCGAGCTCGTCAAAAAAGTCTTCTCTTCCTGTAATCATGATGCGAATTCGGTCTGAGACAGGGCTGTTAAACAAACCTTGAAGAATCTGAGAAAAATGCTGAATGCTGCCGACTATTCCATCAAAGACAATGAACAATGTGACATCCATAGAAAGAATATCTTCATTGTCGAACAACAACTCCGACCACATCTCATGGGGGCTTTCTAGGTATTTTGATCGATCGCATCTCGACGCAATACTCTTCATCAACGACTCATCAGCTAAGGCTAGCTGACAAACCAGATTGCTTGACATGAGAACAGCTTTTGAGTTGACATCATCCACGGCTATCGGTTTCGTCTCCGTATCCATAAAGTTATGGGCGACTGCAACCCTAGAACCCAAAGATCCGGGGGCTTCCAGCTTTCCTTTTCGAGTGTTCAGTATAAAGTTGGAAGCTAGAAGAGTCTTGCCAGTTCCAACCTCACCCTGAAGGCCTAGAATTCGATCTTTGTTGTCGTTACCGTTCAGCCATGAGGTGAACTTGGCATCTTGGAAAAGCCACTCGCCGGTATCCTGAAGGATACTCGACTTGTATCTATTCCAGATCTCATCCCATGGCTTCGTTGAGCCCTCCTCCAGGATGTCTTGAGCGCAATTCAGAGTCGTTAAAATATTCTGCTTCCATACTTTGACGTCCTTCTCTTTCCTCAGCATATTCTTTTCCTCCACCAGGCTAGCATGCATCTTGCGAGTGAGCGATAATCCGTCTCTTGAATTCTCCGCCGCCTCAATACTTGACTTCCAAGTTTGAGCAGCAACTAACCCTCGCTCTTTATCAATCAGCCCGCCCATGCTTGCCAGGAGACCTTGGACGCCGTCGTCGTTGAGAAACAGTTGTTTCATAAAGGCTGCCAGCTTATGTCGCTTCTGTCTCAGTTTCAGACAGCGATCGCATATCTCGACGAAGATTTGGAGGTGTAAACAGGCGACCATCGTCAGCTTGGAATCCATCCCGCCTTGTGTGTAAATGCTGAGACGGCTCATAAAATCGATACATTTCTCGAGAAGAGAGGTCAGACTGTCGAAAATGCCCTCATAGCCCTGCCAGGCTTGAATCACAAACGTAAGTGCATTATAGCAAGTGCTAGCTGGCGCGAATACCTACGCAGCGATCGATTAGCATTGATACTGGTGGATGGATGGTGCGTCCGGGCCCCAAGGGTTGTCCAGTTCCGAACCATTGCTCACCGTTGAAACACCCGTCGTCACGATGCCTCCGACAGTCTGGATACATTGCAGCGTTCTTTGAAACACGTTCCTAACCTGATCGTACTTCTCTGCTTCCTTCTTGTTGCTTGCCTGAGTTTGGTTCAGCGAAGAAATCAGGCTCTCGATATCAAGATCCTTCTGTAGCATCAATTCATTCCCGCCCGCCATCTGCAAGACTCGGTTCTCGACTTGCTTCCATACTTGGCCAATTTCTTGGCTAACTTCGGAATCCAAGGCAGGATTGATGGGCAGCGGCATCGTGTTTTATAAGGCGGAATAGACTCAATTCGATTAAATGCGTTGATGCCAGGCGGGGAAGTAGATGCCAGACTTAATTGCTCTAAAAGCGGTGGCAGGAAGGAACTGGTCCTTTCCTGCATGTCAGCAAATTGCTTACACCCCCTGCTTCTTGGTTTGAGTGGAATATTTCGACATCCCTGCCTAGATCGGTCCTAGCTAGCCCAAGGCGAGAAAGAGTGGGTTTAAAAAAGAGAGAGAGAGAGAGAGAGAGAAAGGAAAGGAAAGGAAAAGGAAAAGGAAAAGGAAAAAGAATGGGAGTAACATCTTTCTTGTTCTATTTCATTAATTGAATTGATTCCAGTTGTTCTGAATAAAATACTTGTAGATATATCTTTTTGCAAAAAGACATACTAGTTGGAGAGTTTAACTTGGCAAACTGCCGGTTCTCGTTTCATGAAATAGATGGTCGGCGACCCTAATAAAGGGGAATTCTCGCTGGCATACATCCATGAGCAGTCTGACACTTGACTACCTTCTCGTTTACGATTAACCTACGGTCCACGGCGGAAGCGCTTCGACGCATAAGTATGTTTGGGCCAACGGTCGCTGTGGCTAGATACATGGATAGCTGTTCATAGTACTTTTTTAGATGCATGTATATAAGCAGCATAGGATTAAAATCATGGCAAAAAAGTCAATACCACTCAGACTTCAAGTGCCTCATAAAGGGGCGGAGCAATGTTTCCCAGCGACTCGGCCACCACAATGCTAAGTATTATTCTTGCAAGTCTGTTTCATTATCAAGACATCACATACTATCTCGTTCCAATATGTTGCAATCTTTCTTTAGATGTTATCAGTCTTTAGACTAGTGTGCCATCATTTGTGAAAGACCTTTTTTATGGCTACAGACTACAATGCAGCACTGCCGCGTGATGTCGGAAGCTGGACTGGGCGATGGTGGTCTTATGATTCGCCCAACTCTGAACCTCTCTTAGGCTTTACGATTGATATCTTTTGCGCTGTGATCTCAATCCATCAGCAGTAGAAAGCTTCTCACGAGAGCGCCAGCCAGCTCGAATCACGTCTTCCCCGTTCCCCCAATTCTAAACAACACTCATCATCCAGATAACTAGGATCTATGTCGTGCATCGCGAAGACATATTAAAAGAATCGCCAAGCCTATTAATCCACCACCACCCAATAGCTCCAAAGTACGATGTCGTGGACGCGGTTATGTCATGGTCGTTATCGCAATGCGATATGAAGTTTGGGAATTCATTGTGTTGAGTTTTCGGGCTCTGGCAGCTTCCATTGCTGTTGAACTTTATTCTCTTTCACTTAGGTGGGAAGTTTGGGAAGGAAGGAAGGAAGGTGCACCTTCCCAACATGCTTGGACACTCACATAGAACGCTGGGCGCCGTTCTTTCGTTCTTTCGTTCTTCTTCGTCCTAGACGGTGCGTTTCCTGTCGGTTTTTCTTCCCCCCTGCGTCTCTTTCGTTCCTGCCGATTGTCGAGATGGAGTCTCTCCCCCTGCGAGGCACTGAAGCCTCAGTTTATATTATCCCGGAGCCCGATTTTTCCATCGATCCCGACGCGCCCGGTTCCCAGTGGCCGGACGTAGAGTTGCCGCTTGGGTACTACCAGGCCTTTGTTGATGAAGAGGAGGAGGAGGAGTTGGAAGAAGAAGAAGAAGAAGTCAATTGTTAGTCTCAATTCCAATTATGGCTATCCTTTTATTACCGCAGGGTCAATCTTCTAGCACTTGTTCCAGAGGATTTCTTGTCAAATGGGTTGGATCTGCTAACGCATGGTAACAGTGGACGAAATTTGGGCGGCTGCGGACGTGGACTTCGAGGCGGCGGAGGCTCTGGCCCGTTTGTCTCTGCGGGTACATTTATACTCCCATTTACCCAGCTCAACCATCAATCGGTCACTCGAGGGTGACTTTGTTTGTCTGAGGAGTGCCTTAATGGGACCCGCTATAGTACGCATACCGAGCTGACATTTGCCTCTAGGAGCCTGAACGGCATCTGGCCTCGCGGCGTTTTACGACCATCACAGCCGGCGAAGGAAAACGTTAGAAACCCGGGGGGTCCGCCCTCGTGACTAAAAAACGTTGAGGGGACGCCCTCATAGACGAAGGTAAACATTAAGAACCCGGTAGGTGACCCCGGTGGGGGGGGGTGACCCATCTATAACCGTCGATAACGAGTTCAAACTTCTACGCAGTGTCGACGATCAATTCTTCTTAATTGCTATCTTATCTCCTACTCAAGAAGATGCCAAGACGAACTTACCATGCCCACTGGTACCGGAAGCAAAGTCAGCACTACAGTCTTCTCTAAATCTACTGCGACTTTCAGCACCAGGCGATATAAACCGAATCCAACCACCAACACCAAGCTTTCTCTATGAGAAGGCTTTACATTTGCCATGGGCAGTTTTTGAATTGTGGCTGACGAGTCACACTTTGTACATTTTGCGTATTTGAAGGATGAAGAAAACTTCCCAAGGCTGGACTACTGTAAAGCAGATTTGAAGCGAAAGAGAACCCATTAAGCGAACAAGATCTGGCGTACTCACACACTTCACGACGACGACGAGCGATCAATCATACATCATTGACACTATTCACGATCTACACCCAAGTCAGACTTCATATGTATCCGCACTTCATTGCCAGATTTCTCTTTATCAACAGCTTCCCAGCCGATCTTCACTTCACGCATCGACGCGCAAATCCAACGATTACGTCAGGAGCACCAGCACCAACTCAATACCCTGCCACCTTGAACCGATCCCTTCATGACCTGCTGTGTATGGTGGAATTGCCAAAAGATACACGCCATATTCGATCTTAGGTCGATACAACCACCAGCTTTGGACAACTCGGCCAAAACAGACACAGCCCGTCCCTCGGCGAACAACGTTCGCAAAGAACGTGAAAGCTATGAAGGATGCATTGGCAGATGCCAAGAAGGTCATCAGAAACGAAGGACCCCCTCCGTTCGATTCTCCATTTTGGTGTGTGGTTGATTTCGACGTGACATATGGCTTGGCGGGGAAAGACGACTCGTTGCGACCTGTGCAGTGTCTCAAGGACATGAAGACCTACGCGTCTTCATTGGGATTGTGTCCACAATGTAATCGTACTGACATTTAGGTTTGTGTCTATTATTCGGCCCTCAACCAGCCTTATACATTTTCCGCCCTAAGTACACTTACGAATAGATGGGGAAACCACAAACTATGGATAAGCTAGACCACACCCCTGAGCAGGTGTAGCAGAATCAAGAGGAGACTTATAACATTTTATCGATCTTTAACCCCTACAGGCTTGCAAACTACTAAAACAATTGCTGCTCCATTTAGAGGTAAGAAGAATCTGATCGATTTTGCGGATATCTAAGAAGACAAGCAGGAGCTAGCTATTTCAGAGTAAGGTTTAGAGGAACTTTTGGAGGGAGATAAGTAGAATTCTTTTGCATCTATGCCAGTCTTTGGCTATAGAGTCTAAGAAGCAGTATTATGGTTTACGTTCATGAGTTTGTGAGGGATATGCTTTTATAGTGAGGTAGTGGGAGAAAGGGGGAGGGTTAAATATCTCTTTACTGCCCTAGATAAATAAAAAGTGCTGGAAGCCTCACCTGAAGTCTCTCCCATACACCGTTATAGGCCGGATCAACCATCGTCCACCACCGCCCTTATATACTAACCATAACGTGCAGGGGTCGATCCAAAGAGTTCTTCGGCGATGCTAAAAAGATACCCGACGCGATTTCGACTTGCTCCTAAGTTCCGAGGGTCAAGGCAAGAAAAGAATCATGGGGCATACGGCTATTGCCCAGGCTGCCAAATATGGGCAAATGAGGAAGAACCCAAGATTCTGGCTAACTTTCTGGACCGCAGTATTGGCGGTAACGTTGGACTCTGGAGAGTTAAGACTGACAGCGATATCTTAAAAATTCAGATACTAGAGATAACTTTCTTCAACTTAAGCAAGGAATACAATATTTAGTGTCGCTAGCTCCTAGACATTAAAGAATACCTCAAGCGCTACAACCTTAAGAAACTGATCTACCCGAGTCAATATTTAAAAGTCCTCGGAAGACGAAATCAAGGAGATTCGTGACAATCTGAAGCCTTCTGAATAACGATCCTGGCAAACATATCACGAGTAAGCTCATGTTTTTACACGATATCAAGTTTATACATTGCGATTGAGTGTTTTAAAAAGATCACATTTCCCTGTCATTGGTTTCAATCTTAGAAAGACATCATCTCGATTGAGGCCTCCAATGATAGATTGTGGTGAATTTTTCAACCAATCCGCCAACGAAGACATTTTCTTGGATTAACTACCTTTCCGTTTATTTCCCAAGGCGAATTGCGTCAACAATCGGATCTCGTTTGATGTGTCGAACCGTTTCCACAATCCAAGCGAGTCGTCCATCCTCCGCAACCTCGCCAAACATGAAAGTCTCAGCCTCCATCAATGTACCGTCCAACAATTCTGTAGTAGATTCATGCATATCCGCAAATTGCCTTCCGTCACGAAGGAACTGGGTCACCTTAATCGAGACTTTGGGCTTCAGTTCTCGGACCCGGCGGTTTTGGGCGACAAAGGCAGCAAAATCGAATTTCTTGTCGTCGGCGCGCATGGTGGAAGTGGGAGTGAAGACCTTGAGAAAATCAGATTCGGCGTTTTCGGGCGGCCCGGAGAAGAGACTCATGAGTGCTGTCTCAAAGCTGAATTTGTCGGAAGCGAAGGATGTCGGAAGCTCGGAAGACATGGTGACAGTGTGCATTGGTTTGTAGGCACGGTTTTCAGTGATGCGTTGAGAATCAGAATCTTTCGAAATCGATGTGAAGCCCGTGTCGCCATGGCCCAATTATAGGTCCTGATTCAATTGAATGCTGCCTAATCAGCACAGCAAGGGAGGCTCTGCCGAGGGGAAAATGCTGCTGCCTTGTAGATGCTCTCCTTGTAAGCACAAATTGCTCATCGCGATTAGCACTTTCGTCACCATTGAGAAGATCATATCGCAGCCTGCTCAAATCAGGTTACCAAAGCTCGTTCTCGTGCTGGTGCCTGTTACCGGCCCCGTTTCGTGAAGCAGCTGCCATCCCGATGTTGAGACACTATTCCTAATTCTCCGTAGTAATGGAGTCCTTGGAATGTGTAATTACCTAGTGTTTGTTGGAACCTGTGGTTCATTACATGCGACGACATGGAGCCATAATATTCGACATGGAAATTTCTTCGAGGAGTCTTGTCAGGATTTGAGGGAGAATTAGACCACCGCATTGTTGCAATAGAAGACTTGAACATCAATGAATTCAATGAATTACCATGTAATGATTGGTTTTACAACCTCGCCACTCCCCATAGCTGAGACTGCACTACTGAAATCTTTGTAATCAAAAAGTTTGATCAACTTCTCGACAGGGAAAATGCCATCCTTCCACCACTGAATCATCTCAGGGATATACTTCTCAGTCCGAGAGTGGCCCTGTACAGCCCCGAAATACTGCTTCCCGCTGACCATGAAGCTCTGCATGTGAAGCGATATGTTGGCTTCAGGCATTCCAGTACCCACCTGAATAATCTTGCCCATATACCGAGTGCCATCGATCTGGGCAGCTAGGAGCGGCGGGTAAGCGCTTGTGTCAATGGAAATCGTTGACCCAAGCCCTTCAGCAGCCTCCTTGATCTTCTCCGTCACCTGATCCATCGATAACCCAGTCGTGTTGATGACGTGGGTTGCGCCGAGTGACTTGGCAAGCTCAAGGCGAGCCTCGACACGGTCGATCCCAATAACGGCCTTGCATTTCCTCTCTTTCGCTGCCATCACAGCTGCCAACCCCACGCCGCCCATTCCTGCGATGGTAACACAGTCCTCGGGCCCTGCCTTGGCTACATTGACGATTGTGCCGCTGCCAGTTTGGAGTCCGCAGCCCAGAGGGGCCAGTTTCTTCAAGTCGTCCCTGCTCAGGCCCAGGCCGGATACATTGACAACACACTTATCGCTGACGACAGAATGGCGGGCAAGACTAGACTGTCCGAAGAAACGACCGCCAATTCCGTCAGAGAAGACCGGCTCTCCCATGAAGTTGATCTCAAAGAAGTTCGTGCAATGCGATGGTGGTCCGGTCTTGCATACGTGGCATTCGCCACAGTAGGAGAATGATAGGAGGACGGGGTCGCCCTCCTTGGCTTTTGTTACCCCACTGCCAACTTTTACCACATAGCCGGAGCCTATTGATGCTGTTTAGATCCCGCAACGCTCTCGAATCCGCTTGTGACATGGTGGCACTCGCCCGTGAGAGAAGGGAAGTCACGTACCTTCGTGGCCAAGAACTCGGGGGTAGAAGACGGCTGGAACTCCCTTATCATCTGGGGTGTTTCCGCAGTGTAGATCAGTGTGGCAGATGCCAGACGCCACCATCTCGATGAGCAACTCGTCGGGCTTGAGATCCCGCAAGGTCACAGGTTCAATTGCCCATTTTCCCTCAGAAAAGGGACCTCGAGCCACTATGGCCTCTGATTTGAAAGACATTTCTCTGAGCAAGGAATTGTGACAGCTAGCATCAAGCGCCTTTCCGGGCTGTTGTTCGTGCCTAGAAGTACAATCGGGGATGTTTAGGACCAAATGCGAGATAGCTCTTTTTCCTTCAAGGCCCTCTACGACGCGATGCAGAATAGCTTAGAAAGTCCAGAGCATGCAACGAAAAGCACGAGCTAGGGCAGATGGTCCAGAACCAAGGCTAAGAGTTGAGGCAAGCAAATATACAGCCACTCGATGCCTTAATCTGGCAATGATAAGAAGGGGGTGTGTGTTTATGTTCTCAATTTCTTCTTTAAAATGCCTCCCCAGGAACCGCTCGAATATTCTCGCTGGCGGGAAGAGGAGTCGATCGTATTGATAAGATATTGCGCCGTGATTGGTGCCCGCAATGCCAAGTCGCACCCCCTCAACCCCTGGACGTCTCTCATCCGGGAAATCATGAGCAGATCCACCAGACGATAAGAGCTCAAGTAGGAGATAGGATCCAGGGGAATAATTTCACACGCCCCGTTGAACTTGGCTGAAGAATTTAATTCAGAGAGTGAAGCAACGTGATTCGCACAGTGTGATGAAAATAGGTATCAGGTAGTTTCATGGGTTAAGACTGGACATTAGAGTAGACAGACAAGCTACTCTCTATATCAATGTTATAAGCCTCATAATATGCTAACTCATACCCATAGACTCCCACTAGGAGAAGAAAGGTCTGATGAGGGACACTAAGAGAGAGGGAAGTGAGACGGGCAAACGGCACAGCGAAAGACGAGAAATAAGAGTTGGCCCTCGGGATCCTCGATGCAGAAGAAAAGTTCTCTGAGAGAACCATAGATATGCTGATCACTTCGGTAGGCTGCTCTCTCCGGCTCAAAAAGGTGTCAATAATTTAGATAACTAGTAATTAGAAGAGAATACCATCAAGTCGAATATTGTGGCTACCCCGAGCCTGGATTAATTCTTCCAGCAATGTCAGTGGAGGGATCGAAGGGGGAGCACTCAGCTTTATAAGGGCTCCGCTCGGTTACACGGGTTCATCTGGAATGGTGCTCTTGGACCGCTGGGTTATTTGGGGCATGGTCCGAGCTCTTTGGCTCCTGATCGTGGAAGGGAACAGCAAGCTAGGCCAATTGCAGAGTTTCGTGGTAATGAAGAAAGGCAAACCAAACCAAACCAAACCGCCCCGCTTGCTCTTGGGTTCGAATGCCAGTTCCGGGGGAGTGGTCCTTCTACTGCACTACGATCCAAACCACGCTGTTCACAGAATGTTGACTCAGAGAGATTGGTCTACTAGAACATGAGTCTATCAAGGGAGGCGTAACGTAGGTCGGGGTTCATGTGAAACACGACGGATCCGATCGAAAGGAACCTCTTCTCGTCTTGCTCAACCTGGTGATTCTAGAATCATGTTTTAAACTAGCTAATCTCTCCTCTGCGCTTTCAAAGATTTTCGGGCGTTAAACTTAGGGCATGTTAACTGGTGCAGGTTGGAAGCCATCATTCCTCCCGCCATCGGCAAGGTGTGAGGTGGAAGCGAGCATTCCAGAGGGCTGGCTTTTGTGGATATTCGACCAGAAGGGCAGGTATAGATCGAACTCTACCGTTGCAATTGCATCTACAAGAGCCCGCACGTCCCGTCACATGTCTCGACATGTCGAGATCTCCGCCGAGCAGGGACTTGGCTGCACTGATGGAAGTCGACTCTCACCCACGGCCCTGGACCGTATCGCCCTACCTTGAAGGAAAATGCTCATCAAACTATCAGGAGCAGGGCTCATAGTATGAACCCCATTGATGAAAATCGAATGCAGCGTACTAATGCCAATTCAGGCGATCGAGTGGACTTTAATCGGCATAGCTTTCATGCTTGGCCTCGCTCGCCTCGATTTACGATTCCATCACCATCAATCGGGATTTTTTCTCAGGGATATATTCTACTTTTCCGCTCTTACCGTCGGACTGGTCAATACCTCCCTTGACACCGCTCTATGGACCAGCGGAATTGAGCTATATGAGGAAACCAATGATACATGGGCGGGCCCAGAGGATGTGATGGTCAGGGCTCTCAAAGTAGGTGCCCCAGCAGCTTCAATGTTGACAACAGAAAGCGATACTGATGGTTGAGTGAGCTAAGGTAGTTTTCGTCTCGTACTTGACCTTTTATCTCCAGTTATATCTAACCAAAGCCACGCTGCTTACTCTCTATTTCGAAATTTTCGGACAGCGCTCGCGGAAAACCCTGATCTCGTTATATGCCCTCACGGGCTTTTGTATCAGTGGATTTATCATCACTATCTTCCTTCTGCTATTCGGCGATCCCTTTGGATCCACCTGGTATGCCTTTCCCATCCGTCCTTGGCTGGCTGGTAGTTTTTAATGGCAATGGCATATGTAGGTCTATGGATGCCTCACAGCGCGACGAGGATCGTCAGTTTAAGAAAGATGTTGTGGCGTGGGCTTTTCATTTCGTCACAGACCTTGGCAGTAGGTATTCGCCGTTGGTAAGACCTTTAAGGAGTAAACGCTGGGCAACCGAGCTAAGCTATGTGACAGTTTTTATCCTGCCGATCGTTTGCATTAGCCGGCTACAGATGTCCAGAGCACAAAAGATCAGCGCAGGGCTTACCTTTGGCCTTGGCTTTATTAACATCAGCATCACCATAATAAGGTGGTTCATCGTCCATTCGCCGGTCTCCCCACCAAGCACCTACGCCGTTGATCGTAAGTTACACTCTCTCAACCAAGGTCGAGGCTGACACCAGAACACAGAGGCTCTTTTCATGACAGACGCGCATACCTGTCTCATAATTTCCATCCTACCATCACTCCGACTCTACTTGAGGATATTCCGAGCCGAAAAGACCACGTCACGCGCTAAGGGCACTGAATCCCGGTCGCACGCCCGAAAAGAACCCTCGACATATCAGGAGACATCACATCCTCACACAAATGGGTGACTTGACCGGAACCACTAGTGGATCCGGGGGTGAGGATCGAATTCTTGGTTAAAATATACGAAGCCCAGTTTGTTCTTTAGTGAACTACATTTTCGATTCGATCCAAAAACGGGGTGGCCTAGGTCTTGACGTGGCAGCCAACGTGGCCATCAGAGAGAATCAGAAGTCGTCCCGGGCTAAGGTCCACTGGCTACGCACAACAACAATCTTGATGGCACCGGTGCCACTGAGAGTTGGCGTACATATGTCGTGCCATTAGAGGGACTTCACAGTCATTCTCATTGTCTCTGGAGCCCCTTCATCTACATATCACCGTAGACAGTAGTCAGTGCATACAAGGACGCGGTAGACCATCGCCTTAGTCCTCGCTGGTTTTACAGTGAACCCCAGCTGGAGCATTCTCAATGCTAACCCAAGTTTTCTCTTTGTGGCCATGTATACGTTAGGCTGAATAGTGACATAGGGGAAGCACTGCCTTTGTGTATTCCTTGGGGTAGAATTCGTAGAATTCCTTTGAAAAAAGGACAGAATACTGCCCAGGGTGACAGCTGAAGGAGATATATACACCACCTGCATTGTACATATGCCACCGTTCTTTTACACATCGTCCAACGAAAACAAAAGAAAAGATACATACAGAAAAATTCATAATTATCATCAAGAGCTCAGTTTAATCTCCATGTGATGTCCATACGACAGGGGTGTCCCGGCTCAAGGGCGTGTTATCTCGAGATAAGACGGCTAAAGCCAAGCCAAGGTGTGGCGAAATGAAAGAAGGAATCCACACTCATGCTGTTATCTTATCTCGAGCACGATATTAAATCCTTTGTTGACAAATGTCATCCTTGAGTTGGGTTTCCCCTCTGCAATGGTTGAAGTTTCAAATACAGACCGTGAGCTGGGTTGATAGTAATCACGCCTCTTGGCAGAACCTTTTTTTGTTCCATAGTCAAATCCCATGCGAACGAAGTCACCATGGCTGCGAGGAGGCACCGCATCTCGGCTCTGGCAAAATTCTGGCTAATACAGCTCCGAGGCCCATGGAGAAATGTAACGAAATCGTAGTTGCTGTTGGCGCCCCCTGTCTGATTTGGTTTCCCTGCCCCCGTCACCCATCTCTCTGGAAGAAGCTTGTCTGCGTCAGTGCCCCAGACCTCCGTAGAACGATTAATTTGCTAAATGGATAAAACAACAACAGTTCCCTTTGGAATAGGGTACTCTGCTATATGTGTGTCATGGATTGCTTGACGTTGAGTGACGGGAATAGTGGGGTAAAGTCGAAGAGTCTCGTTGATTATCCCGTTCAGATATGGGAGCCGTTCTAGCGTTCCTGCAAGGTCCTACAAACCTGAGACGTCGAGGGGAGAATCCGAAGGCAAGGCTTCAAGGACTTCCTCACGAAGCTTATGTTGTATTTCTTGGCGTGTTGAAAGGAGATAACATGCCCAGGTGATTGCAGATGCCGTCGTCTCGTGTCTATTGATATTATTCAGCGTCCACCCTGGAAGGAAATTTTGTTGCTGCCAGATACATGTCTCCAATCAATATGTATGTACCGAGCAGCCAGAACAGTCAATGACTGATCCTTAAGCTCTTCGTCAGAGAAATTGTTCGACTTGATCAAGAGAGACAGAATGTCAAAATGATCGTCTGCGTTCTTGACGACTGCGTCCCTCTTCTCTTGTATCATCGGTCGACATATCTCATTCAATTAATTTGTCAACTGGCGAAATCGGGCGTTTATTTTCCATCGCAGCAGCCTAACGGCATCCATGTCGAATACGATTGCGGCAACGGCGAAAGCAATTTTCTCCCTCTGCGGGTCAAGCAGCTGCTCATATATCCTCAGCAGTCGATCAGTCGATTTTTGCAGCATGTTGAAGCTACGACCCATGCCTGCAATCCCTATAATATCCAACGTAACCCGACTTGCCCATGATGTGAGCTCTACGACGTGAGAATCTGTTCTTTCCCCTGTGATAGGATTTGCGGCAAGTTCTTGCTGAAGCGCTGAGGTCAAGGAGATAGACTTCGCCCACGTCATGGGGTATAGGTCTTTAATATGGCGGAAGTGGAAAGCAGGCATCGTATTCTTCCTCAAAAACTTGTGTTGGCTTCCTTCAACGATGATCAGGCCGTCGCCGAGCACGTGCCGCAACAGCCCACTCAGATGTGATGGCTTTATGAAATCATAGGAACGGTGAACAAGGAGATCAGCCAAGAGCCGTGGTTTTGTGATAAAAACCTGTTTTTGAAGCAGAATGATATGTAGAACTGCTTCTTCTGGGTACTGACGCGCGAGATCAATGTACAGCTCACCAGGAGGCCATGATGTTTCGAGAAGTGACCTGTAAACCACACTCAACAGCGACTGTAACGAAATGTCAATGCACCACTCGCAGAGAAGAATCTTGCTCTTATTCTTTCTCACGGATCTACTGACAACACAAAGGGAGTTTCAAGAGAGATCGTAAATACCCGAGGACCTGCAAGAAAGGGTAATGGGCTTATAAACCTTGGGTGAACAACCACCCAGAAAACGGCGTAAAGGACATAGTTAATAACAAGAGCAAGGCCGAATATACCAATATGGCTTTTAGAGCTATAATAAAATGGGAAGAGCTTGATTAGAAGGAGGCATTCCACAACTGCAGTAACCGTGACATTCGGCAGGGAAATCAGTTGTTCTAGTTTGGGCATGATGCGTTGATCTGCGAGGTCTTACAACCTAAGTCACCGTACCAATCGAAGAGATAGAATTGCTTTATTTGAGAGTCTAAAAATTCAAACCTATGGAATCATACAGGGCCCTTTCAAATAGCATGGGTCACAAGTGTGCAGTGCCATAGAGGGCCGAGGTTGAGACCATCGGCAACCCAATGCGGGGGTTGGATTTCATGTGATCTTATCGTGTCAATGAAAATAATTTCCCTTCTGTCCTGGTGGCCTACGTGGCCGGGATCCGTCTCTTATACTCCTTGTTTGGGAATTTCTCCAATTGTTGACCACGAGTGACCTCCAACGATGAATGCCAGCGCAACCAGGATAAACGTTAACGCCAAATGGATATGCAAATCGCGAGATGCCATGAAATGGGATTAGATCTGCCCAGCTTATTCATTCAAGTTAGAACACTACTCAATGTGGCCATACGTGATGGCACGAGATATCTAAGGCTGCTGCAACCAAGGCGCCAGACAATTCGACAGCCTCGAGTCTCCATCTTTCGGCACGGGTACCCTACCCAAAGTCGATCGATTGATCTTTGCCGAGTCAGGCGAATATTGAAGTCTTGTAACGGTTTGCCGAGGCCAGGTCAAGGTGAGAAATGTCAACGGAAGATCATCTTTTCGCGGACGGCGACAACAGGATTGGCTCCGGTCAACGAGATGAGCTACCAGGTCGCATGGAAGCAAACATGAAATTGATTGTCAGATTTTCGGAGATGTGCCAACACCTTGGCTCCTCTCTATAAGATGCCTCATTGTATCAGGTGATGTGTAAACAATCTAGCAATCATCTTTTGCTCGACTGTGTGCTAAAGTGCATGCCATGAGTTTTTCTTACCATAGCCATGAGGCCGTGATGCCTCACACGGATAGAATCTTGGAAGGAGTACGGCTACTAGAGAGCAGTCAGCGTGAGTAGAGTGAAGAAATAAATCGGGTATTCTAGAGTGTAATAAAGCGTGACCAAATCCATCTTATACGTTGGCGAGAAAATACACTCGTTGTTCAGTTACGAATTACGGTGGGAGTAGTAATGAGTGAGAGATCTAAAGATCTAGTGTAAACCATCTCACTTCGTCCTTTGTTTAGCATCATTAACTCCATCTTTACCATATCCCCCAGAGCACACTATGGGGTTTCCCAGGATCCAGTGAAAATCACTCTTACCCAGATATGAAATTATCATGGTTTCTATCTCCGCTATTCCTCAGAATCAGTATATCTAACTAGAATCTAAACACATGATTGAATCTAAAAAGAAGAGGCGTCATTATAGGCTTAAACCGATCTAGCTTGTTCCTTCCCGAACCCCCACCACTGTCCCTGAGACCTGATGCTAAGAATGAGAAGGCATTCTCGACAGCGATTCAGTAGACAGGCATATGGTTGGCAAATTCTGTGCCAAAGAAGAGCCCTCGCCACTATGCTCCAAGTCTACTCCCTGGCCTCCACTCATTAGAATGCAGGGCGAGGGAGATAGTGGAGAACAGCATGATTCGTCATTTGACTGCTCGTGAGAAGGAGAAGGTGTTCGAAACATGTTTTCCCGTAGGACTGGTCTTCCTCTCGGCCGTTCCTTCTTAGGAATAGGACTGAGCAAAATACTAGACTGATCTTGATATGAAGATCTCTCAGTGGGCAGAGTACGGGCACGTCTTCTTGATTGACTCGGCCGTCTCTCTCTGCTCCTATTATCTTTCCCAGAACTACCGCTTTCAGCATAGTAGCTACTTGAACGAGGTACAGGAGTCACATTGCCGTCTTGATCTTTGGGAGGATCATATATCTTCTTGATATCCCGCAGATTATTACTTCTAAATTTCTCACCGGGAACTTCGGGCCAATTAAGCACCGATCCACGATGAAAATCAGAGTAATCAAGACGGTCGTGGGCGGCAGTGCCCAACGAGTTGCTAAAGGCAAGCATCAATTTGGCGAACTTCTGCCTACCGGCATTTCCCACACTTGTATCAGTCTCTTCGCACCGTATTGTTCCAGTAGCATCGCCAGTACCATCTGGGTTTCCTGTGGCAAGTCTCTCTGGGTCGGGGTTTTGGGGGCCAGGGTGTGGGGTGACAGAAGCATCTCGCGATGTATTCAGGTTGCCCGAGCGGTCAGGCTCAGCAACCTTTACCTTTCCTTTGAGGTCTTCAACATCCTCTGCTAGGAGAAGATACAGCGAGCCCATTAATGCTAGACCAACACCCACAATGGAACCCCATTGACCTGTGGAAACGAGTCGGGTTAGCCAAACATGACTTCGGTCTTCCTCACTGCAAAATGGTGACAACAGATAGCTTACCAATGGCAGCCATTGGCTCGTTCTCATAGCAGACCTGACGGCTGAAGAAATTGACTTCACCCACAACAAGGATGGCAAAGCCTGCACCTCCAAATACCGGGACAACGGCCATGCTCAGGAAGAATCTAACGTTTTCGTTGACATCCTTCATCCTTCTTTTTGTTGCCCCGTTCGTGCCTGATATTGGTTCGTCAATACTTCTGTCATCTTGATCGCCCACTTTGCGAGACTGGGATTTCCAGTTGATTTCCAGAATCTTATCCGCCATCGAGATCAGCCACAGAATAGCTTGGACGCAACATGCAGCCGACAGCAGCGTGCCGGCGCCGAATGTGAACACGCTTGGCGCCGGGATGATGTATATGTTCTTGGCCGAGCCACCTCGCATGGGGGAGAACGGGCCGTCCTTCTCGGAGCAGGTCAGGCTGCAGTTTGGGGGTTTGTCGTACGGGAACTTCGAGGCGTCGGGCGAAAGAGGGTTTCCGGCATCGTCGAACGGGCAACTAAAAGTTTGGGTGCGATAGAACGTCACGGTCAGACTAAGAAGGCCTGCGCTCAGATTCAGTTAGCCATAACACATTGCATTGCCTCGTTTACTGTAAAGAACGCGGAGAATGATTTACCAGCAAGAAGAAGGCCCACCCAAGCGAAGATAACATTACGACCAGGATCATATAGGTACGTCTTTGATAACCGGACAGTAATAGGGGCGACCACTACTCCTATCGAGCATAATTGAAAAGCCCCATAGATGTCCATATCTACAGCTGCTATCATCATGTTAGTCGGGGAGTTGACTGGAGACGATGTCTCGTGCTTACTGTCCCGATGGAGGGCCGCCAGGGCAATGGCATGCACGGCAGCTATCGTTGGTAGCAAAAGAGCCGCAGCTAGACAGGCGTTCTTGATCCAGTTTGCTTTCCTAGCCAGTACACATGCGGCGATGAGAAGATAGAACCTGTGTCTCAAGCCATTTCACGGCGGTTAAAATCAGGGATGGTTTGTCGTGTGGGGGATGAAAGACTCACAGGATCCTCGACCCAGGCCCATATTGGCTTGAGACTGGCCATGCACAAATGACTTGCAGAGCCCCACCAGAATTGTCGGTGTCGTTTCGAGGTTCGAGAACTTGTGACAGATCGTATGCGGAATTGTCTGTCAGAGGCAATGGCGCCATGATGTTTTAGGCTTGGCCAGAGGAAACCTCGAGGCCCGACTAACTCTGCGTCAAATGAGGGATACAAAAATATTGGTTACAAAGTAGTGGATAAGGGGTTTGATTTAGTGTAGATATCATCACATGGGAACATGCAGGATTTCGTGGAAAGTAGTTGAATGAGCATCCAAATATTTTGAGGTGAGAATTGTAAAAAGAAATTGCCCAGGCCGATGAGGCTCTCTAATCTGGAAGAGAGTTTGGGCCTCATCCTCTGCTACATCCTTGAAGTGAACTTCGGTAATGGTGGGTAGGATGGACGGCAACACAGACTAGCCACGGGGTGTGATGCAGAGCAGGGCTGAGGATCGCCTCAGGGCCTCACCATTCGAGAAAGTCGGAATGTGGCAGCAAGTGACAGGGTTTCTCTCGGGTCGTGCCCGGGCTATACGACGCCCGCCCGATGGGCGGTGCCCAAGCATGTCTAAGCCGCGTGAGACAGGTTAGGCTTCCACCATTCCCATCATTTCGATTGGGGGGATGTCTCTAAATATCTGGGTCCCTGGGGACTACAGCATGGCGGTAAGCGTCAGGGGATTTAGGATATACAGTCCATCGATCCCCTTTAGGCGCGTAAAGGCTGCATAAAGTGAAGAAATAGTACACCCGCATTGGCAGGGCGAAGATGGAGCATTAGAGCTCTGGAACTTATGTCTTTCTCACATAAGCAGAACGCAAGGGAGGCAATGGCCCAATCAGTTCATTTTAGAAGCCGGAGTACTTGATTGATGTGGCCAGATGCATGCAGACGAGAACCGACATATAATCGTTGATGTAACTTCCGACTGCAAAGAGGGGTAAATTTGGCAGTTTCAATTCAACCCAAGAGAAGGACTTTACGGTTTCAAGAGACGGATAATGATCCAAGAAGCAAGATGAAGCAAGATCTCGATACAGATAAAATCAGGGAGTGGCGATCAATCGTCACCCTCGTTGTATTTGTTCTCACCAGTACGTGTCTTCAATCCAGGAGCTCCTGAATAGACATTAACCCTTTAATGGCGCATTCAAGATATCAATGTTCTTTTCCCTTTCCATATTCCAATATATGTTCCAACAAGCCTCTGCAACGCCTTCTTAAACGCACTGAGTAACCTTCGAGTCATTTCACCAAGAGATGGGTCCAAGGACAACAAGAAGTCGTTTGTTAAGCTCAGATTTCCCATGAATATGGTCACTGCGCCTCTGATCGCGGACCTATTCCTACTTGCCATCAGGGCAATTGGGCGACGCGAGATCCACGATGGCACCATCGGTACCGATAATATCGATCCCCTTGATATCATGGTCTTCTTCATCACCTTGGCTTACATTGCAATATCGATCGATGCGTCTGGCCTTATCCGATACCTGGCCTTCAGGGTCCTCAAATGGGGTGGTAAAGCCGGGCCTCGACTATTTTGCTACCTCTATACCTTCTTCTTTATCCTGGGAAGTTTCATTGGCAATGATCCTATTATCCTCTCTGGAACGGCATTCTTGGCTTATATGACCCGAGTGTCGCGTAACATAGTGCACCCGCGTGCGTGGATTTATACCCAGTTTGCAGTTGCCAATATTGCATCCGCAATCCTCGTTTCTTCAAATCCGACGAATCTCGTCTTAGCTGGCGCTTTCAATATCAAATTCATTGCGTACACGGCGAATATGGTAGTGCCAGTGGTCATAACAGGCATTATACTTTTGCCTTTCTTAGTCTATATCATCTTCGAGGACGAAGACCTCATTCCCACTTCAATTGAAATCCACGACCTTCCTGACGATGTCAAAGGGAAAAAGCCAGTCAATCCAAATATCCCTTTTGCCAGAGGCCACATCGATGACGATGCCGCTAATTTAGCTAATAACGAGGAAGGAAAACTTCTTTCCTTAGAGGAGATCATGAACCCCTTCCTCGACAAGGGAGGCGCAGCATTTGGTGCAGTTATCATGGCTGCTACTTTGGCTACGGTATTGGCTCTGAATGCTGTGAGCACCAAATCAGGGAAGCATCAGCTATTTTACGTCACTTTGCCAGCGGCATTTGCCATGTTTTGCTGGGATATTGCCTCAGGGTGGTATCATAGAAAGGAGACACGCCACATCGCCCGCAGTGGCAGGAAAGATGTCGAGACCACAAGGGCTGAAAGGGCTTTTCAAGAAGAGGAATTTAGACGAGCCTCCTTGACCCATGGCGCCCTGCAGAAATCTACTGTGGTTGATTCTTCAACTTCATCCTCTGACCAGACCAATCTTTGCCAGAGTCACGATGAGGTCATTCAGACTGAGGAAACACCAAAAGAGAAACATGCTGCCACTGGAGTCGCCTCCGATGAGAAAGATCCCGCATATCAATCAGAAAAGCAAAAAGATCACAGCGAGATCCGGAACTCGGTGCCACATCCGACCCAGCATAAAGATCTTCCTAATGAAGTGGTTTTAAGCACCGTTAGGGAGGGAGTTCTAGCCTCTCAATCTGATCTTGAAATGAGCAGTATACCCGGCACTCTGCAAGCCACAGTTGAGGGCGGTCATAATAAGCCGACAACTCTCGTTTCCATTGCTCAAGATGTGTTCCGATGGTTGCAAGAAACATTCCCCACCGCTACAGCTGTATTGGTACATTTGCCTTTCGCGCTGGTTCCCTTTGCCTTCTGCATGTTCATCCTCGTACAGGCACTTGTCACGAAAGGATGGGTTCCTGTGTTCGCCTACGGCTGGGACCATTGGGTAGAGAACACTGGCACGGTGGGTGCCATTGGAGGGATCGGTTTATTATCTGTATTACTCTACAACGTGAGCTTCCTGTTCATCTTCCTTGTTGATTCCGATCAGATACTGACTCAGATCACAGTTTGCCGGGACAAATATCGGGACCACTATATTGCTTTCACGGGTAATACAGGCATGGCAAGAGATCCATCGACAGCCCAATGCTGGCCCAATAAGTGACCGCACATTCTGGGCAACGGTATATGGAATGGCGCTGGGTGTGAACTATGGTGCCTTCAGCGCTTCTTTCAGCGCCTCCCTGGCTGGGCTTCTCTGGAGAGACATTCTCTCCAGGAAACACATACGCGTACGGAGCCTGGACTTTGCGCGTGTTAACCTTCCTATCATCACAATCGCCATGATTGTAGGCTGCACTGTTCTGGTTGGACAAATTTACATTATCAGGACTAATGAACCCTACGATGCATGATTCAATAGACTCATTTAATACTACATATTCTAACATTAACACGGCTACTGAAGCTTGGGTAGATACATGATCCTGGTCGTGGGATCACGCGCTCTTGGAAGATCTAGAGCACTTCCAAGAATCGCTTGATACGTGAGAGAGAGTTCGAGTATAAAGTTAAACAACAATAGAAGATGCCAGACCCGACATCTCAACACAATGAATAGAGTCTCTTAATACATTAACGTGTGCAGAAAAGCTCATGCTATTGGGGCTTACAGAGTAATAGCTTCAGTCAAGTATGTTCTTATGTCAATTGCCTGTTTCCAATGTCAATTCACCGGAGAATCCTCAACTCTCCAGATGTTGACGAGCGTATTGTTTTATTCAGGCTTAGGACTCGCCCCGGATACCTCCAATACAAACACGTCTCTTTTCGTCTTTCGCCTTCACTAGTAGGCATGAGTATGAAATTATTCAATACACTACGCCCCTAAGTGGCAGAAATAAAACATGGCATACTCAAGCCCTTATCATGTAAGGTAGGGACCTAATTTTCCTATCAATAATATTAAATATAATAATAAGAGAATAACAAATTATTCTACAGTATTTAGCTTCATATTTTGTTTATTACTAGGTTTATTGTTTTGATCATATCGAAATTCAATACTGGAGGTTCTGGCTGTGCTATGTTTCATGTCAGTCATTTGGCCCCTGTCCGGCCAAGCAACCATTGAGATCTCCAGCATGTGGGCAGATGACTAGAAACAGAGTGGCATGAGCCAGCCCCTTTTCCCGGCCTGTATTTCCCCGCTGTAGTCGACTGTTTATATGTATCACACCTCCCGAAGTGCTCTAACATCTCATTCCACCTCACCCTCATATCAGGCGACAGTCGCCACGGCACTTTGACCCATTACTAGCCAACAGTAGATCAAACACCGTTTCAATTACTGGTCAGCCATAATTCAATCCACAATGAACTCGCCCGTTTGGAACACTCTCCATTTCCTTCAAGGAGCCATCACCTCTCCCCTACTGAATGGCCCAATCCTCGCCGCCCTCACCTATTCGGAAACTATTACTGAGCGCTTCCCTTGGCTACACTTATCCCCTTCCCTTGTGGACTCACCGCAACTCGCCTGGATACTCAAAGCGCTGGTCTTGTTTGGCGTCATTGACCGACTCAACAAGATTGCGAATTCCGCCGCCGCCAACAACTTCCGTCTTACTGCTGCCCCCGGCTGGGACTGGCCGAATGAAATCGCCGTCGTCACGGGCGGCTCCGGTGGGATTGGCAGACACATCTGCGAACAGCTGGCTGCAGCTGGCATCCGAGTTGCTGTCCTCGATGTCCAGGAGCTGCCAAAGGCTCTGGAAGGTAATTCCCGCATCCGCCACTACAGCTGCGACATCACCTCCGAAGATTCCATCGCTGCCGCCGCTGCTGGCGTCCGCAAGGACTTCGGACATCCATCCATTCTTGTGAACAATGCTGGGTACACGCGGCCGGCGCCTATCCTGCAGACGCCTCCCTCTGTAGTGCGTACGGTGTTTGGAGTCAACATCATCAGCATGTGGCTCGTAACGCAGGAATTCCTCCCACACATGATCAAGCAGAATAAGGGCCATGTGGTGACGGTTGCCAGTATCGTGTCCTTTGTGACGCTGCCCAGCTCCGCCGACTATTGTGCCACCAAGGCGGCGGCGCTTTCATTCCATGAGGCGCTGAAGGTAGAGCTCCGAAATATATATAAAGCGCCCAACATTCTAGCCTCGATTGTTCATCCTTACTTTGCGCAGACAGCGCTTGTTCAAGACATCAAAGGCGTTCTTGACAGCACGGGCGTGAGAATGGTTCCTGCAGAGAAGGTTGCTAAGCAGATTGTCGGCCAGGTGCTCAGCAAGAGAGGGGGACAGGTGATGGCTCCCCGGAATATTGGAATTATTTCCAGGTTCAGGGGGCTCCCATTATGGCTACAAGAGGTTATTCGAAATGGGATTGGAATCTCAGCAGCCCGTCATATACCAAAGGACAAAAGTAGCTGAAAAACAGTTCTACACCGGAGATTCAATTTATATTTTTGTTTTAAAAGTCAGACAGCAATCTTCTATAGCTTTCATTTCTAACAGAAATAAGTTGACCGCAATGCCAAAGCCTTCCCTCATGTATGAAAAAAGGCCGGGGAGATTCATAGACCTCATCGTCGGGAGGGTTCATCGTCCACGATTCGTGATGGTGCCATACTTTAACCTCGGTAGTACAAAGGAACACCGCGCATTTCCTTTTAGAATCATTGAAGTTACATATCATGGGAGCCTCGGCGCAACCCTATTTCCCCGCACGATGATCAATGTCCAACTCTCACCATTAGCTTCACTCAGGTCTATCACTCGCTCGGACATCAACAAATATAGAAAGCTGCCATATGTCTGAGACGCTAAGCCGCATTTAACCTGTTGCTAGCTTCTCTCGACACCTCAGCCCCTGACTCTGCATCGCATCACTCGTATCTTCGTTCACTCTGCAGCGTAGCATGTGCTGCACCCTGCTGATTCTATTGCTCATTATATCAGTTATCAGAAATCAAACTCTGTGGGAGGTCAAATATCTGCTCTCGCTCTGATAAAACGCACTAAAGAATTCTTCGCCACAATAATTCCTATGGCAATGAGCAGTTTTCAGCGCTCTTGACCTTCACGATCGTCCACTGCTCATCCCTGTATCCAAGATGGAGGACTCGACTACAACGACATCCTTTGACGTTGTCATTATTGGCGCGGGAATGTCCGGCATCAACGCTGCCTATCGAGTACAGAATGAGACATCCGCGGGCACAGATTACGCTATTCTAGAGGGTCGCGACGCTCTTGGGGGAACATGGGATCTCTTCCGATACCCGGGCCTTCGCTCCGACTCTGACATGTTCACTTTCGGGCTGCCCTGGAATCCGTGGGACCGGGCCCAGTCAATGGCTAGCGGGCAGCACATAAAGAACTACCTGAACGAAGCTGCCCGGAAAGCTGGAATAGCTAGCAACATCCGCTATGGGCACACCGTCACAGCGGCCAGCTGGAAATCAGAGAGGATGTTTTGGGAGCTACAGGTCTCTGTGGCTGGAAAGGACGAGTCTGTCGTCTTTAGGGCCAAGTTCGTGCTTCTCGGGACTGGCTACTATGATTATGAAACGCCTCTGCAGGCACACATTCCTGGGATCGAGAACTTCGGTGGCAAAGTCATCCATCCGCAGTTCTGGCCCGAAGACTACGACTATTCTGGCAAGAATATTGTCATCATCGGGAGCGGAGCCACAGCCGTGGCACTTCTCCCGTCGGTTGCAGACAAGGCAGCGCGAGTCACAATGCTTCAAAGAAGCCCGACATATATCCTCTCATTATGGGACACGCACTTCATCATAAGCTTTCTCTTCGCCGTTCTGCCAAAGTCAGTTGCATCGTCTATTTTGCGGTTCGTGTTCCTCTTGGGCAGTGTTCTCTCCAACCTTGTTTGCGAGCTGTCACCCGGACTCGCCAAACTTTTCATCAAAGCGGTCACGCTCTGGCAGCTGCCGCCGGAAATCAAATGGGATCCTCACTTCAAACCTCGTTATAACCCATGGGAGCAGCGATTCTGCGCTTGCAAAAATGGGGACTTCTACGCCGCGCTTCGATCAGGGAAAGCAGACGTGGTCACAGACAGAATAAAGGAGATCACAAAGGATTCGATCGAATTAGAGTCAGGGGCATCCCTCCATCCAGATGTCATCGTCACCGCCACGGGGCTCAAACTCAAGTTTGGCGGCGGCATTCGTTTCTCTATTGACGGGCAGCCCTACAAGTTGAACGAAAAGTTCGCCTGGAAAGCCGTCATGGTACAAGATGTACCCAACGTGTTTTTCCTAACGGGATTTCAGAATGCCTCGTGGACTTTGGGCGCGGATATATCTGTTCGGATATTTGTGCGCCTCAGGCACTTGACGGAGAGGCGGAATGCCCGCGCCGTTGTGCCTCGAGTGCCGGATGAGAAGGCCATGAAAGAGGAACCGATGATGAGCTTATCCTCGACGTATGTGAAACCGATCCGTCAAGTCTTCCCCAAAGCAGGAAGAGGAATATGGGCTCCAAAATCAAATTATTATCTAGACATGTTCCGGGCGAAACGGGGGGATGTCACGACTGATTTGGAGTTCTTGTTATGATGCATAGGGCCCTGGCAACGCTTTAACTATTCAATGATTTAAAAGATCATGTCGATGTAATAAATTTCTCCCACTTTACACAAACTTCTCTGTATGATGGCTCCCCGCAAATTGTTCCTCGTTAAGATTCCAAGTGGAATGTAAGTAGGAAAAGCAGTTGCAAAGACCCGGCATTCACCTCACTTCAAACCCGATATTTCAGTTAATTAAAGGTTTAAAATCAAATTACTTTTGCGAGACCTCGATAATGATAGAGCTTTTCAAGTTGTCTCAATGCCTTCCATCCCTTCAAACCTATCATTTAATGTATCCGCCGAAGCAAACGCATCAAAGATTCTCTCGTCCAAGCCCATAACGTCCAGAACACCCGATTCCACATCAGTTAGCCAGCTGCAGAGTATCTCGCACATCGTCGGCTCCCCATAAAACTCCCGACAGCTGGTAATTGCTGCGACAAAATCTCTCTGATGCTCAGTGGACTCGAATATGTCAACCCATTGAGGCTGCAGCCTCTTCATCTCATGAAGAAACTCTTGCCTCAGCTGAGTTAACTCGTAGTATTTGCGGTGTGACCAATACCGCAAGTCATTATACCCCTCATAGTCGTCAATCTTTGGGCCAGTATCGCACGGCAAATCCATGAGAAATTGCGGGATTTGGCATCCCATAAACAACGGCACAGTTGACATGTATTCCCAGTCGATGACCGAAGCAAGCGAGCCGTTATCATCAACCAGAATATTACTTTCGCTAAGATCGTGATGGAAGAGCATGGTGAGCTCAGACTCCGATGTGGAATGGAGTGGGAAAAAGGCATCCAATAGTGCTCCTAACCTATGAAGAATAGTCATCGCTTCTACTCCTTCGGGCCCCTGGACAAAACTTCCCGTTCCTTCTTTCAAACGTGCTTGGAGGTCCTCACCCGCAAATTTTAATAGCCAGATTACCCATTCTCGAGAGGTCGAGAAGGGTCCCTGAGGTACTCGCTCAAAATACGGAGACAGATACAGCGGACAGACTCCCGGTCCCAGTCCAAAGGGGAATCCTAGGTGATCGTCGCCATATGGTTTGAATGAAGTTGAATCTGTCTTTTCCTCGAAATTGCCAGGTGGGGGAGCCGGAAGCAAGGAGCTGTTACAGTAGTATAGACTTCCTATTCCTCTTAGCTTGTGTTCAAAGGTAGCTGCTGCGAATGCGGCCAGTTGCTTGACGATTCTTCTCTTGCAAGAATAGTCAATGCCTGTCCAAACATCCTCGAGGGGTTTTCCTGAAACCTTCTCCATGATTATCCACTCGTAGCCGACCGCTTGTGACGGATCGTTCATTTGTGACAAGACGCGAGGGACAGGGAGCGATGTGCTCTGCCGCGCCCATTCCATCGTGGCAATCTCGCTCTCGGTCTTCCAGCACCGATACATTGGCAGGCTGACTCTGAAGATATACTCTTCGCTTGGTGAGCTGATGACATAAACCCTGTTGAAGCACCCTTGCGCGAGAAACCTGACAGAGCACAGCTCATTCAAGTTCAATGCCTGCCGAGCCGCCTGCAATATGGCCTCATGGTCAGGTTCGTTCGTCCATTGTGGCTTTGGCCCGAACTGGGTCTCAACCCATTCAACACCACAGGTGCTCATGATAGTTTCAAGCGCAGACTTCCGGTCTGGTAAGGGATTGGTATCACTACAATGATTCTAGAGATGCGTCTCTGGTTGCTGGGAGCAAAAATGGTGCTTATATATCTTGAACCAGCATTCTGGGAACTATCGCAATGCCTTAATTAAACCTCCAGATCGCAAATAAATCGAGATGCCAATTCACAGGGCCCAGAGATGAGCCCCAATACAATTGTCCCGCCGGCCTTTGTTGCGATTCAAGTCCCTTGCCACCACGTAATTCGTGCGACGTGCCATGCTTTGTATTCAGCCTGCCTGCATTGTGGTCAGATCACCTGGACTTTGTTCTGTTGCTTCCATGGAGATTGACGGAGTTAAGTCACTGGCGTGCATAAACAGGGAAGATGAGTGGCCGGAACCACCACCAAAACAGGACAACAGTCTGGGCTTGGCTCGCGCCGATTTTCTCAGTGACATTAATTGCGGAGTTTTACTTCGTTCCTCAGGCAGCCATTGCAGTTGTCATCAGACGGGCCGGACTCTTTGGGCGGAGTTTCACGTGTGAATAAATGCAGCGTCATCCCATCGTCAGCCTTTCCGGAAACATTGCAAGCACAACCGTTCATCAATCAATCTAAGCACACATCACCATGGGCATCAGAGCACTCGTGGTCGGCGGCACCGCCGGCATTGGCTACGCGATCGCCTCCCGCATCGCCTCAGAAGCCTCCTCATCCGTCATCATCAGCGGACGCAGCAAGCCAAGCTCGCTCCCTCACAGCAACATGGAGTTCCGGGCCCTGGATGCCTCGTCCATGCGCGCCATCAAGCAGTACACGGACCAGTACAAGTCGGCCCAGGAGCCAAAGATCGACCTGCTCGTCATGAGCCAGGGCATCCTCACCATGGCCGGCCGCACCGAGACCCCGGAAGGCATCGACAACAAGATGGCCCTGCATTTCTACGGCAAGCAGCTTCTCATTCGCGAGCTTGCCCCCGTTCTCAAGGACGACGCCAAGGTCCTCATCGTGCTCGACGGGACACGTGGCAGCTCGTCCAAGCTGAACTGGGACGATCTGGATCTCAAGAACACCTTCTCTCTCGGCCGGGCTGCCGATCACTGCATCTCCATGACGGACGCCATGGTGCAGGTTCACGCTGCAAAGCTGCAGCCCGCTGACCCGAGCTCGAGCCATCGATATTTCTTCCACGCTTACCCCGGAGTCGTCAGCACCGGGCTCTTCAAGAACCTGCCCTGGTACCTCAAACCTCTGGCAAAGGGCGCAGAGGCCGTGCTGGCTGTCTCTCCCGAGTCGTGCGCCGACCACTTGGTGCAGGGCGTGACGGCGGCCAGCGAGAAGGACGCCAGGGTCTGGAACTCGATTGACGACAAGGGCCGTATTGTCCCCAACAAGGAGGTCTGGAGCGAGGAGAATCTGAAGAAGGTGGAGGAGCACACGTGGAAGATTATTGACGGGGCTCTCGCTACCAAATAATTGCATTGTGACCACGCCGGTATTTCATCGATGATGTTTTAGTCACGACATTTTATGAACAATGGAGCCTTTTTGGGGGAAATTCTTGGGAGACATTTATCACTCTACTTGTGTTATCGTTGCGGGTTGCAGTAATGGGATGTGTATAGGTTGTGTAATGAGCTTCAATCCTGGTTAAGAACGCGAGATGTTATTCATCCTCTCTTATCAAATGGCCAAGAAACACCACAATTAAACTCAAAATACGACCTTTGAGCACCGTGGTCTCTGAATATTCCTTCACCTTATCTAATAAGTCAGCTTTATTGAATTAATCATGCGAACTGAGACTTGATTGCACGGTGGTTTAGAATGTGCAAGCAACATTGAAGTTGGCAACATCCCAAAGTGCAATTTCCACGGGTATTCAAGAACAACCCTACAATATTACCTAGTTGCTATTCATAGTTTTCAGAATATAGTTTCAGCACCTCGTTAATCCAGTACATCACTTTCCCCTTGCCTTCGTTCTCGGATACAATGGTAGTGGCTCAGATCATCTCTGGCTACTTGACCAAGCATAGACATCAATAGAACATGGCTGAAACAAAAAGTATACGTATTCTCGAAAGGTTCTGGTAAAACGTGGACAAAGAGTCCTGTATTTTAAAGTGTTTAAAAAGCTTGACAATAAATGCCCTCAACGTAAATGCTGTCGTGTATAATGCATCACTTCCCTCCCAGTTCTCAACACAACTACCGGAGAAGTTTGAAATCAACTTCTGCTCGATTAGCCTCTGGCTTCTTGCGCGTCTGTGACCCATAGACGGCTTTCTCGAGATATCCAATTCCAAATTCCAAATACAAAGAAAGAAAAGAAATAACGCCGATTGGGTAGAAAAGCCTGCCGCCGCCGACCATCCGTGCTCTAATGAAATGTCACGTTCCGATTGTTCCAATCGTCGTTTCGGCTCAGGTGCTGGGTCCCAGATTTTCTAATATCCAGATGGTCAATCAAGTGCTCGGGGCCATCGTCGCGCCGTAGTTATAGGGAAAGCTCACTCATAAATGGATACTTCTCCATGATCTGATCGTCCGTCATTTCGGCATTCTCCTTCTCGACCTGAGCGTAGATGGCATCCCACTTGTCGATCAGAGGCTTTGAAAGATTGCGGTGATGGGTGTACACAGTGGGATCGATCTCGCTCTTGCTCTCCTCCGACACGCTTGGCTGAGCCGCCGCCGAGGCCGAGGCAGTCCCGTTGTTCTTGCTGCTGTCCATGCTGTTGTCTGAGTCGGCCATGGTATGGCTCGGCTTGGGCTTGGGATGGGCGGACAAGCGTGGGGGAGGATTTGCAGTGGGTGAGTAATTCCCCGACAGAGTTTGGTTTTAGAAGGAGGAGAGGCAGATCTCGGGATTTATTTTTTCACCTCAGGGGGACTGATCGTATAATAAGATCGCTTATCGGAAGGTCATATTTCCTTGGAAATGGCACCACTCGGCTACCACCACGGTCATCACCTGATAGTGCTGCATCTCGATACAAGAAATCCACACACACGCGCGGGGGGGGAGGATCAAACGGACGTAAACAGACAAGACCAGACACCAATTAGAATAGCGTTGTCAGCCGCATCGCATTAGCCTTGGGTCAGGGCCTGACAAAGACCCGCCTGTGCGTGTTTACGAAGCGTTTCATTGGGGTCGTGTGAGCGAGCTTGGCTTTGTGATTTGCTGCAAGGCTTTTCCTCGTTCCCTGTGTTCCGAGAACTTGCTTTTCAGTATTGACGAGTGTGGTGGTGTCAATCAGCACTGGTAAATTAAACTTGACTCAATTGGCTATCAAGCATCCAATGCATGCACAAAGATGGGGATAGAGGCCTTGATTGACCAGGGATGAAGGGCGGAACCGGGAGACCAGAAACGTTTGAATCCCCACAGCCACGTGTGGAAGAGACAGGAAGATGCCGCATGAGGCTAATAAAGCTTTTTTTCTTTCAATAATCGCGTACAGGGTGGAATTTATTGGTTTGTCAAGGACAAGGGTTGACGAATTCAACGTAAACATTGAACCGGGCCCCCGGATGTCCAAGCCATCATTAGCGGTTTACTCCATTGAGGGATTTTCTCTCTTCCTCTTGAATGGATCGCGTAAATCTCAACTGATACGAAAGTGTGGTTCGGGGCCTGATATGACGTATGGGAGGTTGGATCATGGTAAGAATATTTCACAGAGAAGACAAAGTTATCCACAGCAATATGCTTGCACAACAGAGCCGAGCTGCAGCGTTGATATGCTCCTGCATTCGACGATGAACTGTTAGCAGGGATATGGGCTCGAGACATATGTACATTTGACATGTCTGCGGACAAGAGGAGAACCAACAATAAGCCAATCATCAAATGATAGAGAAGCTCATTCTGTGGAGCTGCGCTTGAGCCGGGCTCAACATGTTCGGGAAGAACCAAGATAACAAAGGGTTCAACTCAAGCACAAACCAGTATCGATGTTTTTGAATCCACCTCACCTACCAAGCTTAATCAGAGTAACCGTCTTTTGTCTACAGTGAGATGAACAAGTGACCCAGCTTGTTACATCCATTCGCCGTGCAGGTTGTACCCCTGTCCAAACACTTTTGGCACATGTCATACTCTCCCTTGCTGCAGATGTTGCAATGGTAAAAGTCACATTGAATGTCCTGGTCGCAAATGTCGCAGATATAACCGGGGGATATCTTGATAAGACGACGGTCACCCTTGTCCTTGCAAAGCGCTTCGCTTACGAACAAACACAGCAATGTCTTTGTCCCCGCCAGTTCATTATTACTATCAAGTGTAACGGCCGCAGCAGCTTCTATTTTTAATCCTACTCTGGGCCAGGGTGCTTCAGCAGGTCTTCGAATCCCTCCTTCTTTCGCCTACGACCCTTTTTGGTCTTCCGTTTATCTCTGTGTTCAAAATGTTAGCAAATCGGAGTAAGGTCCCTCCCCTCATGCAAGTACGTAAGAGCAGGGGGTGACAAAGTGGAAACTAACCAACGTGTTCCTTGACAGCCTGCAATGTCACCTGCAGCAAACCCACCCGCAGTGACAAAGAGGGTGCTGATGAATTCCTCGAATTAAACTGGTCCGGTGGTCCAGCAGCTCGCAGACTACTATTGCCGGGGTAGGGGCATGGCAGGCAGGGGAGGGAGGTCGCCTGGGGCCTCCCAGCTCCTTCTGCCCGGTCTCGAGGAGATAACATGTACGGTTCACAATGGTACGGAAGCCATCGGGGCGGTGTTGGTCAAGGAGGGCTAGATAGCGGGAGGGTGAACGAGGGGTGCGGGAGAGACCCTTGAGATCCGAGCGGACCGTGTGGTGGCGCGGCCGAGCCTCGATGCCTTTAGTCTCTAGGTGGGGGACCAGGAGGGGCTCGGGCCAGTGGTTGATACCCCGTGCTCTCTTTGAGGTTACATTCTCGGTTAGCCATTGGACCTATTGTCTCCCGGCCGGATTCTAATACTACGACCTTTGACGTTGACCAAACGGTTGCTGCTGTTGGTTATACCCATACTGTTGATGTGACAGTGGTGCAGAGTCGCAACCACACTGGTTTCGCGTTTTGTTTCAGGATGAAGGAACTTTCAGACTCGTCCTCATGGGCGCCGAGGGGTTGTCGACATTTCATAATTCGTCTATTATTCCTGTCCTCAAATTCAGCCAGTCAGTGTAGCCTACTGAGACCAAGATTGAGTCCCCCAGCGCCCCTGCTTAGACTATGTTACTTAGGAATTATCAGCAGGCACTGTTTCTTAGATGTATCTTGAGTGGAAACAGGGGGGATTGTCAATTCGCCGAGCTTTTGGGAATAAAGAAAACGTAGCCATTAGTCCTCCATTCCAGTCAACATGCCCGTTCGATTCGCCTTAGGCTCATCTCTTCTGTCTTTTCAGCTTGCTTAGCTCATGGCAGGGCAGCTAATGAAGTGCGGGGGCGCACTTATTGCACAAACAGTCAAACAATTGCTTTGAATTTATGAGATGTCATTTTCAAGTTTAAGTTGAGCAGCTCCCAAGTTTTGCCGATGTCATATTCCAACATGGTAGGCATGTTCCCAACAGCTGCCGTAGTATCGTTAGAGTCATCCCCCACGACCAATTACATTCTACATCATAACGTCGATAATACTCCTATCAAGGTCATAGAGTCTCGCAATAGTCTCGATACGTAATGGTTTGAGAAGGAGCTATTTGGTATATGGCTGAGCGTTTGTTATTGGTGAGAAATAACCACGAGCAGTTCCTTTCTCTATTAATCTGCTTAATTAAGATATTGAACGGTGATAGAAAATCAAAAATATATTGAAAGAAAGATAGTTTAATTAACTTTGTCTTAGACCACTGATCCTGGGCCTTTCCATTTTCTCAGGATTTTCGCAATGATTGAATGGCCCTCCCTCTCTGCATATTTGGCAGCCTTTTCACACCTTACTTCAAGACCCGTCTCATCCTGATCATTCTGTAACAGCAAGTAAACCATATCGAGCCGGCCATGCTCTGCTGCTCCCACAAGGGCTGTTCGGCCACCGTAAGAAGACCCAGCCGCATTTACTTTTGCGCCTTTTTCAAGAAGGAGTGCGGCCATTTGGATATCCCCGTTGATCGCTGCGAGCTGAAGTGCAGTTGCGCCACTGTCTTCATAAGGTTCCATGTTAACTTTTGCGCCTTTTTCAATTAGAAGCTGAGCCAATTGTAGATTCTGATTCTCGCTCGCAGCTTGAAGCGCAGTCCTACGACCAAACCACCAGCTTTTCAAGCACCCCAATTGTTCATTATACCTGCGTATGTGGCCTCTTGGCTTGGCATTTACATCTGCGCCACGGTCAAGCAACATCAGAACCATTGGCAAGTTGTCGTGAATTGATGCAGCTTGGAGCGGAGTTGCCCCCCATGGCGCCTTGTCTGCTTCCACGTTCGCTCCTCGTTCAATCAAAGCCTTGACCAATTCAAAATTGTTTTGCTCAGCTGCAGCCATCAACGCTGTCTTTTCACCGTCATAAGAATCCAGCTTTCGACTTATAAGGTGCCACCCATCCTGCTTCGACGGGCTTATACCGTTCGTGTCGGCATCCTTTTCAAGTAAGAGTTCAACGATCCGTGGCTGTTTCAGTTCGACTGCATAAGCAACAAGATTGCTGAGATCGGCATTGACATTGGCGCCCCTGGCGAGCAACTCTGAAACTAGCTCAACATTGTCGATCGTGATGGCGGCTTGAAGTGGTGTTCCGCATTTTTTGTCTTGGCCATTTACATTGGCATCGTTGTCGAGCAACAATCCAACCGTGCTGAACTCCCCACAGATGGCTCTTGCTAACAGGCTGTTCTTCGGGGCATGGATGTCAGCTCCAGCCTCAAGGAATATCTCCATTAATTCGTAGCTCCTTATCACATTCTCAATTGGGTATATCCCTTTAGCCATTAGGTTAACATCCGCGGCATGACTTATCAGCTCACGAATAATGGGCGTCATCAACTCGGGGTCCACCCTCCCCTCAACGAGTGGGAAATACCTCCCATAATCAAGATGGAAACTTGTGGCCATGCCAAGGCTGCTCTCTCCAGACCGTGGTTCCAATTGGTTGGGATCAGCTCCAAATGAGAGTAATATTTTCGTGATAGGCAGATTGCGCGCACGAATAGCCTGGTGTAAAGGCAAGATTGACCCAGACTCGCAGTCTATCGGGGACACATTGGCCCCTGAAAGTAAAAGCTTATGGGTCATATCAAAATCTTGATTGTATATAGCCAAGACAAGCGGTGTTACCACAAGAAGATGCTTGATTTTGAGACCTAAATAAGCGAAACCGGGCGAATTCACATCCGCCCCCAGCCCCATCGCAAAGTCTACCATTTTGGGAGAACGCATCTTGACGGCGCACAATATTGAATCCGCCGTTGCAGTTCCTCCATAATTCATTATCGTCTCGATAATCTCATCATTTCCCGAAAGCATGGCAGCCTGCAGACATGTCACACCATTCTCGGCAGCGGCAGGCAAGTTGATGTCTGCCCCCATGTTAATCAGAAGTTTGAAGAGCGGGGCATTTCCTGCTTCTGCTGCAGCCTGCAATGCAGTTCTCCCTCCTTCGAAGAATGCAGGAGAGTTGATGTCCGCTCCCCTTTGAAGCAAATCGTCGACTAATGTCGGATCCTTGTGGAGGATTGCAACCTGCAGTGGTGAGCTCCCAGATTCTGGACCCAGGTGATATTGAGGCGTCGCCCCATAGGCCAGGAGCAATTTTATCATATGTACATTCTCTACTCTGCACGCAACCCCAAGCGCCGTATGTCCATGTAAGGAAACGGCGTCAGGGTTTGCGCCTGAGTCCAGAAGTAGCGTGGCAATCTGCAGGTTATTACCAAGAACAGCATAACTCAACGGGGTCTCATAATCCCCCGATCGGAGATCTTTTTCAAGGATTTCCAAAGCGGGAAGATCATTCGTATCAGCATTGCATTGAAGCAAATACTTGATCATCCCAAAGTTGTTGGCTTGTGTCGCTAATTGGAGCGGAGAAAAAAACGGCGTCGCGATGTATAGAGCCCATGATGCCCATGATGCCCATGCGTCGCTATATCGTTCCTTGTTAAGGTTGACCTCCGCCCCAGCCTCAACTAACAGCTTGACCATATTCATATCACCATTTTTGACGGCATTCTGAATCGCTGATCCCTCCTCTGTATCGACTTGATTTACATTCGCGCCTGCCCTGAGTAGGAATCGTGCTACCCGGGTATTATGTGTGTGGGCGGCTATGACAAGTGGTACATCGTTGAAATAGCAATGTTCCTCGTCATCGTCAATAATGACTGGCCCGGGCGATTCACCATCGATGCTCGCCCCAGCTTCAAGTAATAATTGGATAATATCCTCATCACAAGAGCTGTCAACATAGCTGGCTAAGCTTCCGTAACTCGCAATGCATAAGGCATTGGTTGGATCAGCTCCATTTCCCAAGAGAATTCTGATGATAGTGTCGTCTCCTTTTTCGATAGCAAGGCGAAGTAGAGTATGTCCACTTTTGGTCGTCAGGGTTTGGTTGGCCCCAAATTCCAACAGCAGCCTTATCACTGTAATATTTCTCGTTCCAATCGCAATCTCCAGCATGGTGGGTCCATCGTGGATGTAGCAATGATGTGGTGAAGTGTCCGGGTCATATCCATTCCGCAGGAAAAATTGAACTATACTAGCTGATTCATTGCAAATGGCTCCCGAAAACAGGGCAGAGGTGCATATTTCGATTGTTGGACCCTTGAATTGAAGGAGAGCTTTTATGACTTGGATGTTCTTTGTGCTATCGATCCACCCAAGCGTGTCTCTAACTAGCTGGCGTCCGAGAAGATTATTCGATGCGAGGTAAACAAAATAGAGGATGAAATGAGGCCAAAATCCGTCTCTCAGGGAGTTCTCCGTCGCCGGAACTCTGTTGCCCAATTTTAACGGTAATATTCTATCATAGTGCTCAACCGTCCGGGAAGCAGTGGCAATTGTTGTTAAATTAGGGATTCGGGCGAGGAAATTCGTTACAAGGTCCATTGGGGCATTGCCGAGACCAGACCCTGCGAATAATGTTGAACATGACATAAAAGCATCCCGAAACTTCATCCAAGGAAGACCATGGAGTTGCATCTTCCATTGATGAAGTTGAGTAGGATGAAACGTTGTTGCAGGCGGCGTCCGAACGAGAAAATCTCCCGGGAGATCTATTTCATGAGCTTTAAAAGAGAGATTAGTACTATTTGGTCAGAGTGATGACAGAAGAGCGCTTACCTGACATCTCAAGAATCTCTGGAAGAGGAGGCCTATGTCTTGCTATCTCCTTCTTCATCTTCTTACAAGGGATCAGTTTCCCATCAATACAGATTTCAGACTCTTTGCCCTGTCGCTTTCGCTTTTCGATAACTACAGCAGCCTTTTTCCAGGCAATCGTGGTGGCGTTCTTTCCAATCTTCCAGGCTGCCAACTTGCGAATGTACTGTGATTTTCTGTGTACAGTCGCAAATTAGCAAATGATGTATCAAGATTAGGGTCGGGAAGAAAGGAGAATGGGAGGCATTTACGTGGCGATAAATCCGTGGGCTGTTTCCATTTCCTTGACAAGAGCGTCAAGAGGCAAGTTCTTGTCCACATATAGGCTGCGGACAACCTGCCGGTATTTTTCCCACTCTGAGGGAGGAATCTTAGGCGCCGACATGATTGGTAGTGAAGATGAAAAAGGGAGATGGCAAAGCGGAAAAGAAAATCGAAGTCGGTGTTGATTTTACCACAGTCAATCCTTGTGTGCCAATTTACTGGGCAGGTTTGTAGGTTTGTGCGGATTCCTTCTTGGGTGGGTGGCAAGCCAGTTTATGTAGACGAACACTGTGACCTGCAACAGACCCAACTGACTGACCGCAGCCCAACAGCCGTCTCCCTGCCTTGGATTTCTAGGCCTAGAAATTGAGGCACTATTGCAGTTCCTCCAGAGGTAGGGTGACAATGCTGACCGCAGCACCGTTTCTTCATTTTGATTGGTGAATACCAGAATTCTCATTGACGTATTCTGCAAGCCACCACCGTATAATGGATCCTGTCTGGTCAGACTCCTCTTATAATTGGCTGAATCCAGAATTTGTGTTTCAAGCACAGCCAACATGCCCAGCCAGCGTCGGATTGGCTGTTGCCATTATTTGCGTCCACAATACGAGTATGGCTCCTTTTGTTGTTTACTCTCCAATCGGATTTCACCTTCACCCTCTAGCCACGCTCGGGCGTGTAGCTGATCCCAGCTGACCTGGTTTCTATTGATTGGTCAAAGCCAGAATTTTGCGCTTCAGGCATAATCATACCGAGCCCATGGGGGATTGGCTGCGGCCACTATTTGCAATCAGAGCATGACTTCTTCCGCAATGTACTGTCTGGCCGGATTGCACTTCCCTTTTGTGATGCCAGGCATATAAACCATCCCATCTCCTACGTGTCTTGAACCACTTCAGGGCCCGTGAGTTGCTAGTAATCTCGCCTCCCTTCTTGACTCAAGTGCCACTTTACTATCCTGCGTCTTATCTAATATTTCTCAACATGGGTCTTGAACCGGAAGCTATAATCGCGATCGTGACGCTCATGGCCAACTTGCCCACCCTCATTGTTTTGTTCTGGGGTCTATGGAAAAAGTTCAAGCGCCGCCAGAATCCTCGCTTCGGTAAGAAATTGAGCTTGTCTGCCTTCTTCCATTTATGAATTCGGAATCATGCTCTAACAGACAGAATAGAACTGGAATCATTTGAGGTTATGCAATGACTTCGTGGACATCGGCTGTGAAGTGGACGATATTGTGCCTGTTAAATGCAAAAGAAAAAAAGAAAATGAAAGTTAACAGGATGGACATTTTCAAGTGATTTAGAAGAGCTCTCTTCAGGGCTTGATCACCAGCAATGTCGAGATTAGGGCAGGTTTTGTATGCTTAAGTCGTCGTATTTCTCCAGACGCCATCCGCGACACACCAGAACGCTAGTTCTCAAAACCAACATACTTAGCCCAGTGATAAGCACAATATCAAGCTCAGTGTTATGAATATTTTCATTTTATTGCTATAATGCTCAGAATTAATGGAAAATAACTTCTCTACTCTGTTTTCACGGAGTTTTGTTGTGGCCATGTTGTCTCTCAATCGCTGGCCTAGGTTCTGTAGGGTAACTGTTTACTCTATCTAATCCCATGCTTGGTAGGGGTACGTGTTTCTCAGGCAGAAGTCATACGGAAGCACTTTCAATAGAACAGAATACCCATTAGAAGCGCTATTGCTATTCAAAGAGGCATAGATCAATAAAGTAAATAGCGAGCACCTCGGGTTGTGGTCGAGGCGACAGAGTCCTGACACGAGCACGCGGACGATTACGAGGTGGTCTACTACCCCTTGCATCTTGTCCTTGGTTTGGCCTTACATTGCCACTCGGAGAAGATGTATGTAATGGGATAGCCAGCTGTCGAATGTTCCCTGTTCCAGGTGAAGTAGATTCACTGGGCCCAGAATCGCACGTTTGGCCAATTTTTCTTTTTTTATTCCTTTGCCAAATCGTTTAGGGACCACGGCACTTCTCAACCGCCCGCATTTCTGTTCGAATAGTGAGTTTTGACCTTCATGTCATCGACACAGAAGCAACTTACACATTTCCATGCCAATCTCACCTGGCATCTAGGTGCGAGTGGCCACCAATCCCAGCGCTCTCTAGATATGCCTCAGCAGTGCCTTTAAACCGATCAGACCATACCGGTTGCTTCGTCGTCATTGTGATCGACTAAGGCTCAATGATATATGAGTTCTGAACTGAAAAACTCGCTGTCTCTCTGCGTCGGGGCATCGTCCGTCGACGCCTGCAACGTCGCTGCAGCCTTTCCATTCTAGTCTACATTGAAGGATATAAAAATTATTGGAATATAGGACTGACTTGGCGAAATTATTCAATATCCAATTCAGCAGATGGTATACCCACGTGGTAGTCTTTATCCGACAACCGACCAGCAGCAGGATCATCGGCATGATATCGTGCCTCTAAGGTCAGGGGTTCCATTGCAAAAGAGATGATAAGCCTCTGGGTCACTTTGCTTGATTAGAATCAGGTTGAACGTTGGCTGAGGGGAAGGTCTGGTGCTGAGCGGGGTTGTCGGTGACTGCTGACAATATATGAGTCAGCCGTCAGCATATTCGTTCCTCTGCGGGACAATCCAACGAAGAGGCAACTCCCAAAAGCCAGCTACTCTTTGAGTCGGTGTGAGTAGATCCTGATTCCTGACTATGGGTCTTGCAGAGCTCCCAACGGAGCTGCTCTGGCTCATTCTCGAGCGCTTGCATTGCCCAGCTGATCTTCATTCGGCCTTTTGCGCATCGCCTTTTCTCCTCCAGGCCTACCTTGCCGCCCGAGAACGCATCATCGCGGCCGTGCTTGCACGCGTCATTTTCCCTGTGGCGCAACGCCATGCCATTGCTACCACAGAAGGGCCGGTAGCCCCGATGGAGGAACAGCTTGGAGAGCTGTGGGATTTCCTTGACGGGTATTTCGACGACGAAGAGCATGACAGGCCGACTACCTTCCCAGGCAACCGGCTGACGCTGATGAACCTGATGTGGCTACACGCTCAAATCGAGCAGCTTGTGGAGCAGTATTACGAGGAGGCAAGGGAGTACTTCATCATATTTCTCAAGCGGCAGGCCGGCAGCCAATTTCTAGAGCGGCCGGCAAAGTTCGCGGAACTTTCCAGAACAGAAATAGCGAGGTTTCAAAGGGCCTTTTACCGTTTCGAACTCTACTCGCGGTGCTTTGGGGTGTCTGCAAAGGATAAGTGGGTGAACAATTCCCTAGTGGAAGCACATCATGAGCATTTTCTTGGCCGGCTTGAGCCATGGGAAGTGGAGGAAATGTGCTGTGTGCATCAATTTCTCATGAGTCAAATTGCTGCCATCCTCGTGAGAATGCAAGATGAAATGGTTGCCATGGTATTGAGCCACCAGGTTAAGCCTACAGGACACGATGCCGCTGGGGATTCTTTGATCCATACAGACGACGTCTTGGTCCGTTCAGAAACACGTCTTGCTCCGGATGATCGGGCCTCACTGTCCTCTTCTCACCGGAACCCAAGCCAAGGGCAACAGAGCTCTCAGGACATACTCAAAGACAGTGTTCCCGATGATGACGACCTTTGCGAATATGAGGGGTCGGGTGGATCGGAATTGAGGCTGTTCTCGTCACATGAAAGAATATGGTTCTATCATTGGGTGTCCGACGCTACATTTTTCGGTTTGATGCACATCAAAGGGTTTCTTGATTCCCCCCGAGATGCGCAATACGATCTTTTTCTACGCAATGCCAGGAAAAACAGAACCTTTTTGCCCAACGTCCTGATCAATGTAGATTTCAACGCCCTGGGAGGAATTGCCCTGGGAGAGGATGAGCCTGATATCCCCTCACCAGCTACATCAGAAGAAGATGAAAACCATCAGGATAGCCGAAACAATCACGAAGACCTCTCATCTCCAAATCTCGGGTATGAAATGTTCAAAGACGGGCCCGGTTATCCCACTATTCCTTTTTTCGACAATAAGTTCTGGCCTCTCCGGCGCCTGGGATACGTGTTCTGGGATTCGTCGAGGGTCCTTGAACCCAGCTTTCGGGAATGTCTTGTTGACGCGCGCGACGGCGATGACAGGGATTTTGATGTCACCAAGAAGCCCAGCGCCGAGGAGGTCCTCAAGGGCGTTAAGCTCCCCAAACGTGCCATGGACGAAATTCGACGGAAATATGGTATCTGGCCCTGGGAGAGGGAATGACAGTACAAATTCCTTTGTATTTTCATTTGTCATTTTCGTATTTGTTTCTTCTCAAGTTATGTAATCGCACCTGTTAGCACAAATTGCCTTGTCCGACATTCTGTTCAAGAACTCAAAGTAATCAGATACCATAGCATGCTATCCCACTTTGATAAGGCATCTAGGGATTAAATCAAGTCATTTCTTTTTACAATATTATCCTTCAAGTTGTATTCTAAAAGAAACGAAGGTTACTAGTACCTAACAAAGAAGCCCTTTCCATTCTTTCGAAGTCAGTTCAGTCGTACTAAGATAAGTAAAGAACACGAGCTACCCGACTTAAAGGTGTTTCAATCCTACGAGGTATTCAGACTTGGCGGTGTACTTGATTGCGGAACCTCTCTCCCAACCCTGAGTCTAAATCAACCAGATTCGCTTCTTGAAACCAAAAACTACAAATTCTCAGTAAATTGCCACATCTAATGATATGCAGGCATATTTTATCGTTTCAAGGCATAATGTGACCACATCCATATTTCCCACCAACCTTGAATATATATGTATGAACGTGCCGTGGGAGGCCAAGGCTTGGGGATCTCTCAGAGTTAGGTACTTTTAAAGCCCGGTGAAGTTAAGCTCTAGTCTCACGGCACGTGTAGAATGAAGCCATGCATGTTGAACCCGCCGAAACTGCATGTGAATTAGTGATCCTGTCGCACCATCGAAACTTTGTGCTCATCAATCACAGGAGTGCATTTCACGACAAAGACATTGATGGCTCTGTGACTCACCTCTCGATGAAGAAGTTTTAAGCAATCTTGTGATCCACATGATGATGAAGAAAAGGTTTAAACCATGCTGTTGATCGCCTTAAAATGAAAAGGGCATGAAAAACTCTGTTACTTATGTGATGAACTGAAAATATTAATTTCAGCCATACGCATAAAAACCTGCAAGCCACGTGCAGTCTCCCGCGTCAACTATTAAACGCAACACAAGCCAAAGCTCACTATATATATCGACTCATCGAGTGCCTCTGGTAGCCCATCGGGTTTCTTTCTTTTCATGGCACACTGCCCACTTCTCAATCATTTCGTATTGCACACCGCATCTGGCACTGTCGTCATCACCGCCATCTAATGGAAAGCTCATCGGCTGGTCATGCCCAATCTGTGGCAAACTCGGCAGGCAAGGTTCGAATCTTACTACAGACCGTTACGCATCTTGTCCCCGGCAGCGAGCGCCATGAAAAACTAGATTTTGTCCTCAACATAGTCTGCCAGCATCATTGGCAACGGGACTTCGACTTTGAACAAGAGCGTTGGTCCTCATATCGTGATGACTTTGGCTTGGATAAAAGGCGCTGCTTCTTTCTGATTGACCATCACGGCTACGATCATACCATCCAAGAGGAACAGGTACCGGTGATATGGTATGAGTGGACGGGAGAATCTCTGTACGTTGTTTTTTTTCTCCCTGCGGATCTAATGTTGTTCCAGCTTAACGCTAATGGATTTGTAGTATTCGTCTCAATCAAGATCTACCTTCCAAAGTATTAAAAGAACTTAAGAAGTGGCCGTTTACATGGGAAGGAAGGAAGTTCCACCGGGTGCCTAAGGGACAGGATGGGGAATATCATCCCAAGGACCGCCGGAAAATAATTCAGTCGAAGCGTCGCCTTGGTATCCCTATATCTGAACATGATCTAGAATTCTTAAGGGAGTATTCAGAACATGCGTGATGGCTCAAGAATAACCTAGAACCAGAGTTATGGGCCAAAATTGAGTCGGCTTATACCTTGCCCAGGGGGGAAGAGCCCAGACAAGCAGAGTAGTAATAAGGTTACGGTTCTTATACAACTACAGAGCAGAATAGATGCCAACGAATTCTACCCCTCAAAACTTAACCGTTCGGCCAGTGTTTGTCTGCAAGCAGGGGTCAAAGAACACTCTGGCTGTATCCCTTCTAGCCAGGATTCCACGCGAGTCAATTCTGCTCTGTTTCGACTCGACAAGCCGCTGGTTAGTGGAAAGCCGATCGTGGAGTACAAATGCCGGCCCTCAATATCATCAGTGGCTTTGTCCGGCCATGTGGCAAGGCCCTGGCCAAGCACATGGATATTCGCAAACTGGCCTTACAATGACAGTCTATTTGCCTTTTAGAGACTAGAAGCCAAGCGATGAACGCAGAGAGTTTAGGAAACACTCATTGGACTATGAGGTAGGGTTGAAAACAGTCTTAGTAGGGACGTAGCATCCCTGGCAGCTATCGCTTCCTTGTTTCAAACCAAAATACAAGCGCAGATTTATATCAAAGTTTTAATTACAAAATTCACTATACCCGGACCATCGCGACAGTGGCCTTGATATACAGGCGGTTGTAGGCGTCCTTGATGGAGAAGCGCTTCTTGCCCCCCTTGACGTAGCCCTTTTCTTTCAGCTCGAGGGAGCTGACGGAGGAGTCGTCGACGAGGGTCTCGGCGTCAAGGGCCTTCTCTCCGTGCTCGTACTTGGGGCCGGTATAAACCTGCAGGGGGCGCCACAGCTTAATGGGCTGGCCTAGAAATGGTCACTATGAGGTACTGGATGGGAACGGTGAGCTACATACTCTGAGTTTCACGCCAGTGAGCCATGCCACCAGGCAGACGGGACAGGGCCATGGTGGGGATAATGATATCACGGTCGAAGCCTCTATGTCATTGTTAGCAATATGTAGATGGACACTAAGGGGTGACTTACAGAGCAGTGTATAAGAAGCATCCGAGGAGATCGACATTGGCCTTGAGGTTACGAGAGGTGAAGTACTCCTCCTCGTTGGCGATGCGGTCAATCTCAAAGGCGATGCGAAGCATGGGGTCGTCCTGGACGAGGTCCTTGTTGTCGGCGATCAGGCGCTCGACCAGGGTCATGCGGGGGTCCTTGGTCTTGTAGATGCGGTGGCCGTACCCGAAGAGGCGCATCTTCTTCTGCTTAACCAGTTCTATGTAGGCGGGGACGTTGCGAGTGTGGCCGATCTGCTCGAGGCCACTGTAGGCCAGCTCGATGGCTCCACAGTGGAGGGGGCCGTAGGCAGCGCATAGACTGGCGATGGCGGCGGAGGTAGGGTCGGCGAGGGCAGAGCCGGCGTGGAGGGCGATGGCGGTGGAGTTGGTCATCTCGTGGTCGCAGTAGAGGATCCAGAGCTTGTTGAGGCAGTCCTCGATGGGCTGGGACCACATCCCCATGATGTGGAGGAGGTTGCTCAGCATGGAGCGGCTGGGGTCGGGTTGGGTGAACTTGATGTTTCGCTTGTGGCAGTGGACGAGGGCGACGGTGGAGGCGAAGTTACCAAGGGTGCGGACGAGGGCCTTGTCGCAAGCGTCCAGCTGGTTGTGAAAGACGGGCTTGTGCGAGTACCGGGTCTGGCGAGACTCAAGGTCGGCGTTGACGAATGCCGACAGGCCAGCCATCAGCATGGGGTAGGTTTCGGCGTCTCGACTAAGAAGAAACTATTAGATACGATGAAGTAAACAATTATAAAAGGGGAGTATAATTACGGGAAGGAGGCGATGGTGCCCATCACTGCCTGGGGGGCGACCATAGCAGCGTTCAAGGCACCTCGGGTCTGCATCTTCTCAGTGTCGCTGGGAAGATGGCCCCAAACCATCAAATGAGCAACCTCCTCGAAGTCATTGTTGTTGAAGAGGTCCTCGATGGGGATACCGCGGTAGCGGATCTCACCACGCTGACCATCACTATCATCAAAGTTCAACGTTATGAGCGATTCGGAGAGCTGCATCTTAGAAAACTCACATGAGGGTAATCTCGGACTCCGTACATGCTGTGTGCTCGAATCCTCGGTCGAGGATGGTGAGCTTCTTCTTCAGGATGCCATCGTCGATCTCGATCTTGGCCAAGTCCTTAGCCAGGATGTAGTTGTCGTGGATAGGGACGGTGTGCTCCTTTCCAGTGCGAGAGTCGTGGATGGTGAGGCAGTGAGTGTTGGAGTCTTCCAGAGACATCTTGATTAAAGTGTGCTTATAAAGGGGCTAGAAGTAGAAACAAGAAAGATAATGCTTTTAAGTTAAAAGGAAATATAATAGTAAAACGAGAAGGAGAAGCGAAGAAACAAGAGCTTGCCAGAAGTGCCTGTTTGGGAAAAGGAAAATAGCAGAAAAGAAGAGGTTGAATGAAGACGAACGAGATGTAAAGTGGCAGAGGATCACCCTCCTTAAGAAGAACTTGTCGCGCTGGAATGAAACCAAGGCGACAAAGCGAAAGAACGGTAATCGTCGGAGGCAGCTAGTCACGCGAGGCCAAGAGGCGAGAGAGACTTCCCAAGAAGGGTCATCGGCAAGGATGTAAGCCTCATTACTGGGACACAAATGGAAGAAACATGTTGAGAGACCCGAAGACTTCCTCTTCTTCTCGGCGCTGGAAATATCCTAAAGACGGGCTTTGGTATTCCTCGAGACTTACAGCATGCCTCGATATAGACTGTGCAACAAAAGGACGGGCTCCGTCTCGTCACAGAAAGAGGGGGGTGAGATGTATAATTATTACGTATCTACTGCCATAATTCGTCGAGAAGCATGATTCATTATGGGACTTGGGATGGTTGTGACACGGTTTACCTCGCGGTGATGCTGGCATAGGGAAGGATCGTAGCTGGGGAAAGGGGCGTAATGATAAAAATAATGACTTGCCACAAGTCTGCCTTTGAACTCGATTACTCCCCAGTGCGTTGCACACCCTGGTTGGCAATGTGTATTGCACAGTATAAAACCAACATCAATACCAGAAGCCTCACTCCCACGTGTTGGCCTGGACAGAGAGGCAGGCCGACCGTGTAAAGGCCAGCCAGAAGTACCGATATCGTCATTGGCCAGTAGGCGAAGCAGCAAGATGGAAGGCGCATGAATGTTGTGTTCTTACATTGCTGTTGATCTCAATAAGCCTCCTTAAAGGAATCAGCGCATTGGAGGCGTTATCTCACCTCTTAATTTGGTTGGGTGTGCGGTGACATGAACACCTTGTGTCTCAGCCGCGTAATACTGCTAGAGGGTAGACTAACTTGCTGAGAAGATGTATCACCCTGAAGTACCGCAAGCCGCAGTGAGGTACCAAACCCAGTTGTTTAGAGACTTTATGACTGTACCCAGTAGTACTTGAGATCCATAGACTGTACTGTTGGTCGAAGACTAAAGTTGAGACTGGCGAAGTACATTCTTCATCTAATCCTATGGATTTGGGAGACTTACTTGATCACTAAAGAGTATTGAGGCTCGAAGTATATGAAACCTAAAGATTCTCCAAACTGATCACGTTAATTATACCTCAGAAAAGGACTTACTACTGTCTATAGTGCTTCCAGAAGATAAAGCCCGGAAGCCGCTCAGAGAAGGCGTGGCGCTCTGTCGCTAAGTCGGCGCCGGAAACTAGTCATGAAACGCAGGTGCCGAGTGCAGGAGCTGCCAAGACAATGGCATTGCTCGGTTGATGGCATTCATTGCCCGAGAGATCACTCGGGCAATATACTGGATAGGATTATAGGAATGCGATAAAGTCTCCGATCCCTGCACACAACCAGATGCCCTCGGCCTCCAACAGGCCTTTTGTCCACAGGTGCGACCTGCACTTTCAAAAGGACAATGTCGGCCGCCCGTATTGAAAAGAAGATCAATATTACTCAGCCAGGTCGGACAAAGAACCACTTCCAGCCCGTGTGCCTCTGTGCGGCCTTTGACTGCTAGCTTCGTGACTCTGAGTACCACCAGTGTGGCTATCCCAAGATGACGGATCAGCTACTCACACTAGGCAAATAAGTGCCAAGGACAGGAACAGGCCAGCGTACAGTGTCCCTGGGGTTACGGTACACAGCGGCTATCAATCTGGATTGGTCGAAACATCCAGAAGCTTACGTGGAGTCACGCGGAGGCCTTGCTATCAGCTTGTCCAGCTCGTCTGCAAGGGGCTGAAGGGGGCTTCAAGTGCCGAAGCGCCGCATATCATTTGTCCGCGGGGGCAGGTCAAGCATGGTTATTCCCAGCCGTGGTCATCCTGTGTGGGCTGTTAAGTTCTTACGATGGTATATTTCATAATACCATCTTAGAGATATCTCCAGAACTATGAATAACCACCTACGTGGGTCGCTGGAGTTAATAACTGATAGATCAAGGGCCCTTGGGCATGGGGCCCGCACGGGAGATCATTGGGACTTAAGAGACAAGGGTCAGAGAAGCGGGCGCTATTTCAGAAGAGGCAATATACAAAGCAGCCCTTCAAATAGCATTTCGATACACCAGCGAGGCCTTTGCGGAGGGCGATGGTGACCATCGCTTGCACACCACGAGCGGCACGGGCTCGCACCTACGACTCGAAGGGAAGCTATCGACATGCCCATGTCCGGAGAGAGTTTGACCGTGATTGCATCTCTTGGTCAAGCAGTCGGCATCGGCAAGATCAGAGGCTGACTAGAATATTAATTGACAAGGGGCGGGTTTGCGGCTGGACCACTGGATGGATGCTGCTTACATGCTGGTTGCTCTTTTTGGCTGGAGCTTGAGCAGTTCCTACAGTTCCCGCCTGTTCCAACACAAAATGACTACCCTATAGTGGAGCTGAGGGCTCCTCAGGTGATAAATCTATTTTTATCCCACTGTCTGTGCATTTCCCATCAAGAATCGGAGGGTTGGGTGACCGGAAATATTACTCTTCAGTGGGGTCAGGTAATTAGAGAAACCAAGCAGCCAAGGGCCTTGTTCCGTCGCGAAAAGGGTCATCATTCATTTCAAGTGGCACCATGCAGTGAGAAACGTATTGAGCAATGTAGTAGTAGTGAGAAAGTCATGAAAAGATAAAATTCATATCGCTAAACATCTATGCAACATAGGGAAAAAAGGTGATATCGTAAAATATATACATCAAAGTAAAAAAGTAAAAGAAAAAGAAGAGAAGAAGAAGAATGGAAAAAAAGTCGGCCGTCAAGAATTATAATTTTAATTGGGACGCGGTCGCCATGCCGCACCCTTCCACATGACGAGCATGAGAAGAGGGATAAGCAGGCCGTAGATGGCTCCGAACACGGTGAAAGACCAGCCGAAGCCGATCTTGTCGATCATCGGGGCGACGACGGCGGAGGCGGCGGCACCCAGGGCGCACTTCATGAAGTTGTTGGTGGCGAGGGCGGCGCCGGCCTGGTCGAAGAAGATGTCGACAATCAGGACCTGGATGGCGTTGTTGATGCCGACGATGCTGATGCCGAAGAGGAAGATGAGGGTGGCGATGACGCCCAGGTGGGCGTGGCACTGGAGGGCCCAGCCGAACCCGGCAATGACACCCACGCCGAGCGCGAGCAGGGGGAGGGTGATTTCCAGGCGGGCCCTCTCGATGGGGAAGTTTTCCAGATCCATCTTCTCGCCCTCCTCAAAGGTGATTCCGGCCAGGGCGGCGTGGCGGTGGTAGCTGTAGTTCATGCCGGGGCCGACGACGACGACGGCGACGATGGAGCCGACGGCCATGGGCAGGTACATGAGACCAACCTGCAGCGCGGTGAGGCCGTACTCGTCCTGGAAGATGCTGGGGGCGGCCGTGGACAGGGCGTAGACGGCACCGAAGGCGAGACCGGCGGCGGTGATGAGGAGGACGAGCTGGACGTGTTTGAACAGGGCGACGGAGGATAAGAGGGTGCGCATGGCGAACTTGGCGCCGCTCTCGCCCTGCTTGTTGCCGATGGGCTCGAGGCTGGCCACGTTCTCGGTGGGCTTCTCCTTACCCTCCCTCCACTGGACGGACTGGACGACGGTGTAGTAGGCGCGGTGGGGGCGGATGGAGCCGTCGCCGACGATCTTGCGGCACGTCTCGGGCATGAAGATGACGACGGCGAAGAAGGTGAAGCCGGCGTAGATGGCCAGGAACCAGAAGATGCTCCGCCACTTGAGGGTCTGGACGAGGGCGCCGCCAATGACGGGACCGAGACTGGGACCCAGGATGGTGGGGATGGAGGTGATGCCGATGTACTGGGGGCGCTCGGCGCTCGTGACGATGTCGGCCACGGCGGCCTGGGACAGGATCATGATGGTCGAGGTTCCAATGGACTGGACGGAGCGCATGGCAAGGGTGATGCTGTACCTGTCGCTGAGCGCCAGCACGATGCTGGAGGCGACGTAGATGATGAAGCAGATGATGTAACCGGGGCGGCGGCCGTAGATATCGGTGAAGCCACTGAAGATGAGGGGGCTGATGCCCTGGAAGGCGAGGAAGGCGGTGACAGTGAGGTTGATCATGGTGGATGAGACATCGAGCTCCTCGGCGAGGACGTTGAGGGCGGGCAGGTACATTTGCACGGTGAGGGCACCGACAAAGGCGATGAAGGCGTTGCCGATGACGATGAACCTCTTCTGGAGCGGTGTGTAGATGCTGAAGGCCTCGAACTCCTCCTCCTCGTCGTAGTAGCCCTCGCCCTCCTCGTCAATGTCACCCAGACGCAGGTTGGTCTGCGACTCGGTGCCGGACGGCCGCCACACGGGGCCGTTGACGGACAGGTACTTGCTAAAGCGGCTCTTCCTGTTGAACTCCTGGTAGTAGGTGGGCACGCGGACCGAGGGAGGCTCAGGCACGACGGGGGTGATGCCCATCATCAGATCCATGGAGAGCATGGAGAAGCGCGAGGATCGGCCGCGCTTCTTACCACCCTTGCGGTAGGTGTTGGTGGTCAGGCGGTTGGGATCCGTGTTCTGGGTGCGGAAGGTCCATGCTGTGTTGCGCGAGGCGTCGCGGTTGTTGTCAGACCGGTATGTGTAGGCGGTCTGGCGGTTGACATCGGCAATGTCCTGGGTGTGACGGTAGTCGAACGTGTACGCCGTCTCGCGACTGGCGTTGTTCTGCGTGTTGTTGGCGGTCTGCGTCTGGCGCCATCCCTGGGACTGGTGAGCCGGGTGAGGGGCGCCGGTGGGACGGTATGAGTGCGCCGTGTTGCGATCCGGGTTCACGGTCGGTCGGTATGAACCTGCCGTCTGGCGGT